TCACATCTGTTTCGGATGGCTTGCTCGAGTGCATCTTTGAACGTTATACTCACGAGGGCGACACCATCGTCATTAAATTTAATGGGAGAATTGTTTCATGTTATGTAACTAATAATAATTATTACCGCGAGATTACTTTTCATCCAAGGCTCATTTGCGTTAAGAAGTTTGCTTTTTACGACGCACTGAGCCCACCAATACTGATTCGCAAAGCTATTTACAATACAAGAGATCACCGAACGCATCAGTCAATTTTTTATATAGTCATTATTTATTAACAATTTTGTAACTTATTTTATTTTTTTATGTATGTATTTATTTGAATATTAAATCTACAGATCGACAATGATAAAAAATTATTTCTATTAGATCCTGTCGGACGTCTGTTGAAAATGAATAGTTTTTTTTATACTTCCGTTTAAAGTTCGAGTTTTTTCCCTATTGAAAGAAAAATATGAATCTACGTAATAACAATAGTATGTATAATTGATAGAAATGAATGAATTTTCTGATAAATTCGTCAAATTTATAAACTTTCTTATAGGAAAAGTTACAATCCTATGAACTTTTCACAGGATCCTAAAAGGGAAAGGGATATTTTAATAGGTTGCGCAAAAAAATTTTTCTCTATTTAAAGATATTCAATAGGAAACAAAAAAGTTCAATCAGAATTTATATCGAATATTGTAATTCTACAGACAGCTGATTTACCTATTGATAAGATTGAATGGGATTACAATAGTTCGAACAGGAGATCGGTCGTAAAATAGAAAATAAAGAAATGCTACTGAAAAAAATGAAATTTGAATAGAAAATACAGAAACTGAATCGGAAAATACGATTAAAAGGATTTGAATTTTTCCAATTTAAAAGGAAAATAATAAATCTTAATGGGAACCGACATGATTCAATAAGATAAAGCAATTCCTTTATTATTTACATAAAATGAATTTTCCTTTCTACTGAGACAATAAAACAATAATCATCCTGTTGTAACATTCTTGTTTAAAAAAAGTTTAATATTCTAGAGCTTTCTGAAGTTCCAATAGGAAAGAAAACTAGGATATTTAGAGGGAATGTAGAAAAATTTGTAATTTAATTTATTTATTTATTTATTATTTAAACATAAATAAGACCCTTAGAACGCATTTGCTATCTTGTTCCCCTTCCCTCTTTTTTGAACACCACTATTTTTGTTTTGTTCACATTTACTTCCAACTTGACCCTTTCTACATACTTCTCCAGTTCTCCCAACATGCCTTGCAGTTCCTTCTCATTTCCCGCCATCATCGCCACATCATCCGCGTATTTGGCCACATAGAAATTGCTTCCTCCCATTGTCGTACCTCCAATATTTTTTTTGCTCATCCCTTCCTCCAGGTCATTTATAAATATATCAAATAACATTGCACTTAACGCACATCCCTGTCTCACTCCTTGATTAGCCCTGAATTTCTCTGTTATCCTACTTCCTATTTGTATTTCTCCATACGTGCTCTCATATATTTCCTTCACCATTTTCAACATTCTCCCTCTAACTCCACATTTCTCCAGTTTTTTGATTAATATACTTCTATTCACCTTATTAAATGCTGCTTTGAAGCCCCCTTTGTGTATCGGCACTATCCTTGCCATTTCCCAACCCTCAGGTAGCCTTGCCTCTCTCCAAATGTCTCCCAGTATTTCTTTCAATATCTCTTGACAACTCCCCGCCAATGCTTTGATCATTTTCGCCCTTATCCCGTCCTCCTCTGGCGCCTTCCCATTCGCCAGCTTACTTAGTCCCCTTCTTATGTCGAACATGTCTATTTCTGCATTGAGTTTCTTTAGACCTTCATCCTCCTCCGTTTCCTCTTCTTCATCACCATTTTCTCTTTCGGTTTTTTCTCTGCTCTCTTCCCCTGCCCCGTGCAATAATCCCTTAAAGTGCTTACTCTACTGTTCCCCCCTTATTTGTTCAGATATTTCATTTCTTCTAACTCTCCTGTATCTATTTATCGCCCTCCACCATTGTTGCATGTCCTTTGCTTCATTTATCTCCTTCCACTTTTCATTCTCCCATTTCTTTCTTTCCTCCCTGCAAACTTTCTTATATTCTTTTCTGCATCTCATCAACTCTATCTTTTTCTCCCTATTTGTATTGTCCTTCGTGTAGTTCTTTAGCATCCTCCACATTTCTCTTTTTGCACTCTTGCAGTTCTCTGTATACCATGGATATCCGTTCCTCCCTTCTCCCCTTCCACTACCTACCTCCCCCTTTCTTTTTAACATCTCCGTCCTTTCCGCTGCCTTTTTAATTACCTCTTTTAGTCCTTCCCATCCCAATTCTGTTATCTCATCTTCTTTTCCCATTACTAATTCTTGACTCACCTCCGCGTATTCCTGTGCCTTTTCCTTCTCCCATTTGTATTTTTCCTCCGTTCTCATTTCCATCAACGGTTCTATAAATTATTTCGATTGGCCATTTCTCCCCATAGCCATCTACTCCAGACATACCCTGTAACGCCCTATAACTGTAAAACATATTTAGAACACATTAAAACATGAAAAAGAATTTCGAAATACATATTTAATTATAAAAATATAACTCCAATCGTTGGAACATATATTTAATTATCAGAATATAGGTGTAAACTTTGGAACACATAATCATTCTTGAAACATAAATTAAATATATATCGTTGATACACATATTTAAACATTATTTTATTGCTTTTGTGATAACTTGATGAGTTGATCATAAAGATCTTCGTGAAGGTACTGATTATTAAATTAGTAACTTCAATTATTAAACTATCAATTACTTCAGCTTACAATTTTGATAATTGTTGAATGTTGTCGAACAATTGTTTCATTAATGATCACTATCATTTATCAATTAGCAGATTAAAGATATTGTTACGATGATTCTTGATGAAAATCACGTAAACTATTCCATTACTTATAATAAATTGACATTAAAAATTTTTTCAAGCAAAAATATTTACTGTAATTTCTATTGGTAGTCATAAATACTTGAATTTTTAACTGTTTTATAACTTTTTGTGTAATTTCATCACAGACAAAAGTTATAAAGAAAGAAATATTTGCTTAAGACAACAATTTTCTCGACAAATAGCAGCTTTTGCTGAGTTACAGTTAGCTTTTTCATCACAGACAAGTTTTTTAGGAATGCTGCCACCTCCACCACCATTGCCAGATCACGAATCTCCGAATTAAATTGCACCCGTATACGTATTCTACCTATAGATCTGGTGGGTAGAATAAATAGATCTTCTCCAGCAGCATTGCATGCACGAGCACCAGTGCATTCATCAAATGGAGGTAGGTATGCTTTAAAAGAAAGGGAGCGATTCTATTGGAATTTTTTAATATTTGAATTTTAATTACAATAATTAAGGTGTCATTGCAATCAAATTATTAACATGGAAATTTAAATATTAAGGAATTTTGATAAAACAGCTTTTTACACTGAATTACTTTTAAGATTTTTGCTTTTACCATCGTAATGGCGGAAGAAATCGAGGAGAGTGGTAGAAGAATTACAACACTCAAGGGCCCCAAGGTACCCTTGTAGCCATCAGTAAACAGACTGCCGTCAGATTTTAATATGTTGCTGTCTTTTAGTTTTCTAAGCACAGAAAAAGGTAAGATCAACGTCAAACGTCAGATAATTCCACATAAAGGAAGCAGACGGACGTAAGTCTGTCGACAGATTCTGATGTCAGGTCCTGGCTACTAGGGTAAGGCATTCGTAGCCGAGGGCGTAGCATTGAGCAAGGTCATCATCTTCAGGAACGTCAAGAAGACAAAGGGGTCTACTATCGGATCGGGATTACTATGAACTCTATGTTTTTTTAGACAAAGTTACTATTCCATTTCATTACGGTTGGATATTTATACATATAACAAAACTGCATAAATTAGAAACGTTCAACGCGAGCAGAAAAAGTTAATTTGATTTGGATTTGAATTTTTTCAGGCAATAAAATCATATTAAATTGTATACAGTCCTATTGAAGAATCTAAAAAAATCACCTCCATTTGAAGAAAGAATTGTTATTGCAGTAATCTTATCTCCAGCACAAAAGGGAAAGGAAACTTACCTATTGAATCGTTCACGCATTAAATAGGATTTAGATTATTTCTATAATAACACTAAGTTGGACTCATTATATTTTAATTGGAAAAATAATTGTCAATAAAATTTAATAGGAAATTCCGATGCATTTTTCCCATTGAATAAGAATACAATTATTTAAATGTATTTCTGAATATTATGACTTTTATGTCTCTGAATGCAATCCAAGTAATTATTGAATGCCTTTTTGAAAATTCCTTAATTTTGAGTAAAACTGCAATTTTCAATCGTCAAATTTAAATACTATCTAGTACTATATATGTATATCTATAACTATATACTATCTAATACGTATTATGTCTCTAATCTATTCCGCTTAAATTAGCATCTTTGAGGTTATGATTTATCAATACTGATATCGAGACTTTTAGATTTTTCTCCTTCAGAAGATTCAAATTTTTTTTTATGTGATCTTCTAATCGAAGTAGATTGTTCCAATCTCAGGTATGACTTGGCCTCTAAATTATTGAAAGATGTCTTTATTGATGGTAGTATTGGATTGTTTTTTTCCAATACTTTTTTAGGTTTTTGAATTAAATAATTCTTGAGAAAACTCATTTTTAGCACTGTTTGAACAAGATTCATATGTTTCCAAAGAACAACATTTATTATTACTATTTTCTCTGTTATCTTCTATCAGTCGAGATCGTCGTACTTTTGCCCATTTATCTGTGGATTTTTTTTATTAAACTTATTAATTAACATAACAAATGATTTCAATAATAGTACGTACTATACATTACTCAAGTACATTTTTAAATAATATAATTTTTATTATTTATAAAATTTGAATAAGTTTAATTTTGAAATTTATTATGTATTTAAATTCCGGAAGAATAATTTTCACAGTTGTAGGTGGCGTGACGATACATAATGGCGATAATTTCCATTAAAACGCGAAGTAATCCACCAAACTTTACTCATTTTTTCACGAAAACTATTAATTTGCGAGTATAATGTTAGATACCATTCCCATTATCATAAGTAAGAACCGATTTCACTAGAGTTTCTAATATTTGTCACGAACTCCTTTTTTATGTATCCTGTCATAAAACAGCCCTTTTAAAATACCTTCCAAGAGAAATCGTCCTAACCCTTTTTTTTATATTCTCCAAACTTCCAAATTTTAAGTTCCCAATTCGTTACGATTTCACCAAAGTGAAATCGCTTCCTGTTTACAGGTTCATATCATTTTTTCTACTCTAGTTACGTCACAGGACTCTTACCCTTTCCCTCGAAATTTAGACCCTTTAAATAAGAATGTTCCCTAGGATTAAGCAATCAGTTTTGTCAAAATCTCTGTACGAAAAGCATCTCATCTCAAAACTTTAATGTACTTAAGTTACTAAATAAAGATTAAGTTCACTTGAAGTCTTGGTATCCAACAATAAGTTTCCATATCAGTTCGTTTTTATTGTTTTTTTTTTTTTACATATCGTATATCCGGCTTCGCCATAAGTGACCGGATATCCTGTATTTATTTATTTTAATAAATCACTTTATTTAAATTATCGATTAATTATAACTGACTAATAGAATAATTGTTGATTTGGAGATGATCAAAATAACAGTTTATTTTATAATGAGTAATCTAATAATGGAAATGTGATCCACAATAGCATTAGAGCAATGTGGAGGGGGAAAAAAAAGGTTCTCAGTGTCGCACGATATTGCGTCATCTACTGTTAGTCGGAAAGTTGAAAGTTTCTAACGTGATACTGTTTAGTGGTGTTATTTAACAACATCCAGTAGATTACATACAAAAAATTATTATTCATATCCAAATATCTTATAACTCATTATAAGATTATTAAGTTATTGATTAATTAATAATGTTTAATCCAATGCAAACGGATTATTATCGGTTTTGTAAAGCAGTGCGAAAGGGAAATAAACTTGCAGCACAGAATTTGATTCTCAATGATGCTGTTCTGAACATTCTCAAGGAAAGAAACGAAACGCTTCTTCATGTCGCAGTTAACAAAGCTTCCGTTGAAATGACTAAAAATCTCATAAAACATGGAGCTAATATTAATATTTTAGATGAAAATCATAAAACTGCTTTAAAAAGAGCTTGGACGACTATATCACATTATCAACGTGAACTTGACCAATACATCTATAATTGGGGAAAGAATTTTGGTTATGAAGACTGCTGTGCAAATATTATACGTAATAAAAAAATAATAGAAATTCTACAGATACATGTAGTTAAGTTATGTGTTGCTAAACTTGAAGTAAATAATGGAAATTTTAATTATTTAATACCGTGTCAACATTTTATAGAAAATGAATTAGAGCAAACAATTGACATAAAACATTTTGAAAAACAATGTGTAAAAGAAGTTGAACAACTGAAAACAGAATTTATTGATACAATTAGTTTTTATGATTTACTAACAAGACGGAATTATTTTCCAATGAGATTTGTTAAAAATGAAGAGGTTGAAAAAACCTTGAATAATGAAATTTGGAATACAAAATTTCCATTGTATATAGATATCATCAGAAATCGTTTTCAAAAAATAAAAATTCAAAAAAGACTGCAGAATCCTGCTAAAATATTTTTTAGAAATCATATCAGCAAAGAGTTACCCAACGAATGCATTGATATGATATTTAGTAATTTCAATATTGAAGAGTTGAGCATGTTCGTCCGAAGTTATAAAACTATAGATAAAAAAAGGAAAAAAAAATAATGAAATTAATGAAAAGATCTGGACTCCTATCAAAAACAGCTTACTACATCACTTCAGATTTTTGGTTCATGGTTTTCCTGAAGAATAAGCACAAATGTGGATGTAGTTGAGAAAAAAATCAGTTTCAATGGCAACCGTAGCTTTTTAGTTTAGTTTTGATGAATGGATTACAATGTTAACAATAAATATGATGCAGAAATTAAAAGGATATTTTCTGTTTAACTTCTTCAAATGATGTTCAGAAAATTAAAGATTTATATTTAAAATATCATAAATGCCTTTGTCGAATTTATATAAACAGTTTTATATTTTTATAATGTAAAAAAAATACATTTGTAGTTTTTAAATATTTGTTCTTGTTTATTTATCCTATTCATAAAACATTTCAAAAGATAAATCGAGACAGAAATTTTCATTTATGTGTTCTAGCAATGGAAGGTGTAAGATGATAAAACATTATTAGTTTGTGCCCTGATGACAAAATTCCCATTAGTTGAAATTCGTAATTTTTTCATCTTTTCGTTTTTTTATTTATAACAATATTTTATTGATATTTATTCAAATATAATCATAGTAATAATTGTTTCATAAATTAAAATCATTTTTAATTAAACATAGCAAATTGAATTGTTATAAAAAATACATAATTGTTTAGAGTCAAGTAAAGTTATTAACAACCATATTGTATTGACGTCTGTTGTCAACAATAAGTAGAATCTATTTCAAATGTGTTCTTAATTTATTTTACATACATACACCGACGCACATACGTAAATCTATCCATTTCTAAACCTTCTAATATTCCAACTAGATAAAAAACTTTTTTTTTGCCTGTATGATGTTTTGTTTGTAGTTAACAATTTGTTTTTCAAAAATTCATTAAAAAGATATTGATGGGGATTAGTTTTTAGATAAATAAAATGATGTCTGGAATGATATTTAAAAGATCTTTAGAGGATTTTTGGCACAAATGCACCGTATCTTTTTTGGAATTTAAAGATTTTACCATTTTTAGTCATTTATTCATTGGGATCACCCCCAAAAAAGTTGAATCTTAGAAATATGTTGATCTTGACAGCACAAAAATAATCCGTCAAGGAAATTTCTTTATGAACCACCATAGAATTTTTAAAGGGGTTGTCATTGAGACCACCCCGGACAGCAAACTTTGATTGCCTATGGTCAGTGTTATAGTAGTGGCCTCTGGGATTTTTCATGTTCCATTAAGATCAATAAATGCCCAAAATTCAATCCCATTCGGAGGTGACACCTAATCGAAGTACACCCAAAGTAATATAGCATTGGGTACTTTTCACCCTCATTGCTTGAAGAGGAATACTGTTTAGATGTGTGTCTGTCAAGGATTAATGTAAACTGAAAAAGTTATTAAAACAAGTGTTGTATAGGATTTCCCAAACTTAATTGCTGAAACTTATCGACTATTATTCTTTAGCGTTTACAGTTTTCAAAAAAACATTAATAATATTTGAAAGATAAAAGATGAAGGTTTTATTCGAGTACATGTAGAGTACAATTTTTTACAGAGATATTTTATAAATGACAAAAAAGTGAACATATTTATGTAAATGTATAACTTGGTGTAAAATAAAAATCAATAATTTTATTATCAATGCATAAACAAAATAAAATAGTTGAAATTTTTTCTCTTACTAAGAGTATAAAAAAAGGCTATCAATAAAAGTAAATGACATACTGATGAATAGTTAAGTACAGTAAAATTTATAATTGTTTTTTTTTCGGTATAAACTAAATATAGGGTACGAGGTCGTCAGTAAGTCCATTGAAAACTTCCTATGAAACCTCGAAAATTGATCTTTTGTATAGTCATTAACGTAAAGTTACGTAGTTGTGATTAATTAATTATTATTGCGACAATGACGTAAATGATTGACATACAGTGAATATACTGCAGGATGCAAGGGAGAAGGATAGAATAGAGTGATTTTAAGATTATTTTAAAACTAATTATTAGTTAATGTTATTCAAGGTTTCAAATATTAATTATAACAATTTCCATTTAAAAATCACTTTTTTTAAACTTTATTCATCATTATTATATTATAATTATCAGCTTTAACAATTGATATATTAATTTCTTAATCCTAATTATATACATCTTTCAGTTTTAAAAAGCTATGCAAATAAATATCTTTCGCATGAGTCACAATTAATTGTGCCATTTTTCTATTAATTATTTATGAATATTTTAATTGCACTTTGGTTAATATAATTATTAGTTTTATCTTTTAATTAAAAATAATTATTTCAATATTTTACTATCAAAAAATATTCATCATTGATGATTTTAGAATTTTTCTTTATTTTTCTTTGCCAACACTTAAATTTAATTTATTAAATAAATAACATTCTCTTAATATTTTAAATGCAAGCGATACTTTGTGTTATTTACATTTTTTTACATCGCTATATGTTCTTTCGATTGGATCGATTAATTGTTTAATTAATGGTAAAATAAAATTATATATAAAAATTAATTAATGAACATTGTTCGTTAAATATTAAATAATAAAAACAGTTAATAATTTATCCTTGAACATTGCCATCTTGGTTTGATATAATTGTTGGTAATGTGCAATTAAGAAGTGCACCATGTTCAGCATCTTTTGAGCTACCATCATTACAGGCATATTCACGTGATATTGTAACAAGATTACGTTGTCTAGCTTCTTTTTTTTCGCGTTCAATCTGTCCAGAACAATATTTTTAATTTATCGTCATGATTATTAAACTTATAATTCATTAATGTAATGAATTAAACTTGTAAATTGGTAATTACCTTGAAAAATAATCGCAAATAGTGACAGGGAAATATAACACATCTGCCTTCCTCTTCTTCAGCATCAATATAAACACCACGAACAAGAATAGAATTACTGCAGTTCAAAAGTCCAAGAAATACGAAGCAGCCAATGTGAGTTATCCAACAAGACAATTCAACATTTTTTGGAAGAAACCAGAGATCTAACATACTCCAAATCCCTCGCCATACATTTATTGTTCCTAAAAAGCTCAAAAAAAGGAAGACATCCGCTGCTAAGAGACGCGGTAGACCTTGGAGACGACCACAAGCATAACGCATTACTGGTTGAAGACAAAAAGTCACTCCAACGGTCATATATCCTATAATCTAGAAAATTAGAGGAATAAGCATATATAATTATTGGGATACTATAAAGGTTTTAAGAAGGTTTTGGAATTTATTTGATGGTTATGTTGACAAATAAAAATGGAACTTGTAATCACCGACCTCTCTGATTTAAGAAAACTGTTAGAGTACGAGATGCAAATGATTAGGTTTTCGCGTAAATAAAAATCTATTAAAGCTTTATTAAAATTATCTTTCGGATGAACAATTGATTCGTTGAAGTATTGGTCATAAAAATTAAAAAAAAAAATAATTATTTAACGATTTTCATTCACTTGGTGAAATTTTAGAGTTTTTTATCGAATTATTTTTCAAATATTTGATATTTATTTTAACCATAATCAGTTGCATTTAAATTAATGATGTTTTTGACATTAAAAAAATGCAACGTGTTTAACATGTTAGCATCACCCATAGGTGTAAATCTTTTGAAAATAATCAAATAATACTTCTTTAAATTAAGTTCAGTTCATTTCGGGAATTATGTAGAAGAGAATTTGGGAGTTAATGTATCTAAGAGAAGATTTTTCAAGAATGTAAATTAGATAATAGCTTAAAGACCTTTAGAAAACCTTGAAATTGTATTCAAGAGTAGTCGGTCAAGTGCACCGGCATAAGTTCAATGCGTTCATTCATTCAGTAATAGTCTAAAAGTATAAAAGGAGGAGTTTGTTTAAGAAGAACCTACTGAATTAAGCCTACTTAACCATGTTGATTACTTAATCGTTTCTTATAATATACAGCTTTACATTCAGGTATACCAATCAATTTCACGCTATCTTAAATTACTCAGTCGCCATTGAAAAAATTCTCTGCGTCTTCCAGGAATTTTTATACTAAGTGATTCATTTTTTCTGAGTAACACAATTATTATTTACAACTTAAATTTTAAAAAAATTTTGGTATTTATCAATTGTTTATTTTCTACAAATAATTTAAAAAAAAAAGGTATTTAGTGCTAAGTAATAACTAATTAACTCAAATTTTGTTGAAAATTAATTTTTTTCGCTTAATAAAACTCGATCCGGAAATATCTATTAGTCTTTTCTGGCACGTGGATTATTTGACTTAGATTTTTTTTGAATAATGCCGCGTGTAATTGACAAATACAATAAAAAGGCAGAATAACAGCTAAAGCTGGCCCTGAAAAATGGTGTGAATTTGATTGGTTATACTTTACTAGTGATAACCCGGTATAATAAACAAGCTCTAGTCGCTTGCACTAGTTGTGAATATACGGGTCAGTCGTGCGCCTCTCTCTGACAATCATGCAATTTACGATTATTCAATTATATAATCGAAGCTTTATCCTACTCTTATTCTTTTTTGCAAGTTCCCTATGCATTCGAACCCATCAATCTTCCATCCAATCATCACAAACTTTTACGAGATATTTTTTTTAATTGCTCTCATCAGGATGATTTAGTAGTAAAGGTCAATATTATGCCAAACTAGTCTGATTAACGACTGGACTTACTACTGATTATCATAGAATTTATGGTAATTTTCATTTTAACGTAAAAAATTGTATATTTACCAATGAACCAATGGATGAATATTCACGATTATCAGAGAATAGATGCAGATCTATAAGAACCCAAACTCCTCTCCAGACAAAAACTACCAATGTTCCAACAATTCCAACACTGAAGGCACAATCTAAAATATAAAGTGTCCAATCTCGAGTATTCTACAACAAGAAGAAAAAAAATAATAAATAAAATTTATTAGAAATAGGATCAAGAAATTATTTAATCAAAGAATATAGTGTTGAAAATACTTTTAAATATTAGTTTTCCAATTTGTGTATAGAATTGGTATTCAATAAAATTATCTGTAATAGTTTGATATATATATATATATATATTTATCCTTTATAATGGAGTACAAGTGGATTGAAATGTATTGGAGTAAGAGTTTTTGGAGTAAAAATTTTTTGGAGCAGCCAAGTACTTTAATAGAAATAAGATTAGAATAATTGGAGAAAGAAAGAAGTTAATAAATAGTAATATTTTAGGGACATTTACCACACTTCTCTCCCCCCCTCCCCCTTGCCCCCAATAATTTTCAAGAAACGAATCAAAAATGTATAAACTAAATTTATCTTAATCATCTAATTAAAAAAATACAACTTCTAGCATGAAAGAATTGAAAGGACTCAATACGTCCTTTATGCTTCATTTACTACTCATGTTTCATTATTTTGTGAATATTTTTAGTGTTGTAGAAATATCGTTAATTTTGTTTTATTATTCATCTAATTTAAATAAAGAATATTTTTATAGAAAACATTTCCGAGCAACTCATCACGCTTTCAATAGATTGATTTTTATAAATAATTTCTAGATAAAAATTCCAACATAATTAAAGTTAAAGAAAATTTTTTGCCAATATTGGAATTTTCCTGAGAAAGATTATTTATTTATTGATATCAATACTGTTCAAGCTTTGATAACAAAAAAAAATTTTTATAAATATTTATTGAATTTATCTTAACAAAGATTATCAAAGCTGCCAAATAATGATTGAGCACATTAATATCAGATAATTGCTGATTGTCGGCGCCCGTTTGTATTTAACATTCTTGTAAATCAACAGCTTCCTCAGTATTATTTTTAAATCAATTTTTTTATAAAAAAAAAAATATTTTTAGGAATAATTCCAGCAACTATGATTAACAAATTAACTTATTCTTTACCAATTTTAGCACTAGATAGAGTTATTTTATATTTTCTGAAAGATTAGATAATCAGACTAAAAAATGACACCATTATTTTATTAAAGTTTTTTAAATGATTAAATTTGATGATAAATAAAAAATAATGAAATATTTCAAATAGAATTTATAAAAAATTAATTATTGTAAATATACATTTATTCAAAGCAGTGTGTGATCAACATCATGTTCGTTTTTGCATCCATGTTTTTTTTTTTTTAATAAAAAAAATCCACAGTCTATGACACAGGGAATTGTATGAATGTATTGTAATATATACGCTATAACGTTCAAATATAATATTCGTCATCGTGTAGTCGACAATGTGTCGGGGGACTGCCGGAAACTACGTTTATATTAAGATAATATGGAACACTCGAGTATCAAAATCATCAAATGATTGTTGCGATTTCTATTTTATTGATTATCAGATACTTGAAAAGAAAAAAAAGATTGTCATCACAAGAAAAAATACAATCAAATATAAATAGAAGAGAAAAAAACCACTTTCAAGGTTGTTTTATTGTCAAATTTAAAGCGACCTTTAAAAAAGAACTTACATCAACACGAAACATGGTTGGAACTTGAAAATATCCAGGATGAGAATCAAGACTTAATGAAAAAGGTGGTGCTGATATGTTTCTAAGTCCTTTCATGACCACAAGAGCAGCCAGTGCTATTACTGTGGTGGCAATAACAGTATTAGGATTATCTTCAGTGTAAAAATGAAGAACACGCCAACCTCCTCTCCAAGCATTAACGCAACAAAAGCCAAAAACAGCCGTATAGACTCTTGAACCCACATAATAGCACAGTCTATGCTTATCTGGATGTAAAATGTCATTTAAAACATGTTGAATGGCATTGAAAAAAAATAAACCTCCATAACCAATAACAATAGACGCCATGTTGCTCATCATTGGATCTTCAGGATAAATGTAAAAATCACTAAGTGTCCATGTTCCACGCCAATATCCTACAACTGCTGGTGCAGCAACAAATGTTGAAAATATAGCATCTAAGATGGTTAATATAAAGTAATAAAAACCACGCGTTGGTCGTTCTAAGGTGCAGGTTGCCATCCCGCCACTTCTTGGCAGTTCTACCATCCTCCAAGTTGATGAATCGCTTTCAAGAAAGCTCATCCTTCTTTTAAACTCAATAATTTAAGGCCTAGAGTTTTTATAAATGCCATGATGTTCTTTAATTATTATTGACTTATTTATTTATAGCTGTTTTTTTTTTTTTTTTTTTTTTAATTTTATTGTTTAATCTATTTGAGTGATTTTTAAGTTATCAAAATGGTATTTTTGATAAATTAAACATTCAAAAGCTCATTCAACTTCATGATTAGTAGAAAAAAAAATTATTATTATTATTTATTATCAAAATTATTTTCTACTTAATTTGTTATCTTTCGCTTAGATAACGAATAGTTTCAGCTGTTTTTAACGTTATAGTAATAAAAATCATCTTGCTACAAGTTCGATTCAAGTTCAATAATCAGTTTATCCTTTTGCTAAAAAATTTGCTGAAAAATTTTCTTAAATTATAACACATGTAGCTCTTTCGTTATTTACACTTTGTCAAAACATTTTACACTGTTGTTTTTTATTTTATTTTCAAATATATTCAATAGGTTTAAAGTTTTTTTGTTTAAAAAATAATGTTAAAAACAAATCATCCAAGATGTTTGTGATTTTTTTTTTTCGTTACCAAACTATCTCAACGAAATACGAGTGAACACTGAATCCCTTTGGTCACTGCTATCTCTTATCAAGCGAGTTGACATCGTCGTCACACGAAATACTACACGGGATCGATGAATATATGTCCCCCTCTGTGCTTTCTAGCACTATATACATATATATTTCATCTTGATTCTTAATACAAAATTTTGCCCCCCTCTTCACACGTGCTCAATTATTGCTCTTATTATTTTTATATAAAATTTATATTTAACAATTGATTATATAAAAACAATTATCATTATTAATTATATAATCATTCCCAATTATTTAAACTTTTATTTTTGTTGTTTGTTGTGTCTTAAATTTTACTAAATTTTTTTTTTACTCAGTTTTGTTATTTTAAATAGTACTTTTATAGTTTGAAAAATAGATTTTTCATTTATTAAACAAAAAAATTTTTTTATAAAAAGTCTTTTTTAAGACGTATTATTTGTATTTATTCTATTATTAGTATACATATATGTAATTAATAATTAAATTGCTACAAAAAATATTTAATTTCAGCTTTAATATTTTATCGAAATAGTCTTAATTATTACATTTCTGGAAACTTTAAATTGAAAAAAATTACAGTTCTTCAGATGATTTATTTTATCTTTTCATTTTTTTTTGTAAAAAGTTTTTATACATTCATCTATATTTTTTCAATTGTGAGCTTTTATTTTTAATTTAATAATTTATTTAAATATGTTTAATCAGATGAAAAAATTGATACTTGAAATAAAGAGCATTGAAATACAATAAATATTAAACTTCTGTCATTTTATGCTAATCCTTAATTACTAGAAAAAGATGTTCACTTTTCTTTGTATAGTATTCTTTTCGACTGAAAAATTTTCGATTGTTTTTAGAAGAAGCCAAGAATATCTAATATTCAATCAAGTTGATAAATATTTTTTGAAAAAATAATAAGTTGACATAATTTTTATCAAATAATTCGATAGAGACAAATGACAAGTGTTTGAATAACAAAATCCGAATGAATAACAAATGAAGTCATAAAAGCAGCATTTAAGATGAGTGTGGTAATCAATTTACCTTGAGAATGATTTTTTTTTTTGAGTGGCATTTCCGTTGATTAATTTCGTGCCTTTGTGTAATATGCTCCAATGACGTTCATAATATAAATGTATGTATATATAATAATATCAATAATACGCTTTTTGTTACTCAATTAAGCTTATGTTTTCACAATCTTCTCACCTTGGCTACTTATTTTCCTTTTATTAAAGCCTCTTTCAATTAACATCAATTTTAACCTTTTAATCAATTCAACTTAGTTTCCAATTATTTGTTCATTGATTTATTAATTAAAATACTCTTTTTTTCTTTTAACTTTCACTCAAAAGTTTTATGATGTTGGTATTAATCTTTGACAGACACACGTTTAAATAGTATTCCTTTCCCCTTATTAAATTAAAGTTCGAACAATTCTGCGTAAGATGGATATATTAATAGAATGATTAATTTAAATTAAAATGGATAAAAATAACATTAAAGTTGGTAAAAGTTCAGAGTGAGTCCTTTTTTCCTAGTGTGTCTGTCAGAGGTTAAATATATATATTAATATTGTCACTTACCGTTCGATATCGAGTTGGAAATTGGAAGATGTGATTGGGAATGTCGACTACAATTATTAAAGGAGGTGCTAAGAGATTCCTGCAGCTTCTAAAAATTATTAGGAGACTGATTAGGATGACTATCACTGCTGAGACGACCCTGGAAATGAAGGAAAGATAAAATTATTATTTTCTGATAGAATCAAAACTGATGTTAGAGTCAAAACTAATGCTAAATAATATGTATTAGACAGTTTTTGGAGCAATTTTTAAAGTATGACTGAAAGAATATTGTTAAAAGTTTAATTTAAAAATCAAGAGACTTTATTTTGGGTGAAAAATCTATTTGTATTGAGATAAGTCTGCCAGAGTAAACTGATTGATTAATAGAAATTATTCAGAGCGTAGGCAAATGCTTTAAAATGTAAAAGAAACGACAAGGAAATATAGTTTAGTTATCTATGTTTAGCTGTCTATGTTACTCCTGACATTCTTCACTTTATGCCTGCATTTGAAATCGATTCAGTCGATTTCGACATTACTCCGGACAAACAGATAGACAGACAAAAATCCTAAAAATGGTTATTTACGTTTTAACATCATGCGAATAATCCTCTGAGCTTAGTTTGAGACAGTTTTTTTTAAAATCACAAATAGATACTCTACTCTTATTTATAGATATTATGAAAAATAATGTTTGCATTAATATAAAATTATTCAAGTCTTAAAATAAAGGTAGGCTAAAATTAAAATAAGAAAAAAATAAAATGATCTAGAATTAAAATGGAATCAAATTACTACGAATTCAGAATGAAATTAATAATACATTTTGCACCGAGGAAGTAAAGTAAAACAATCAGACTATCTCCAACTACGTGTTTACCATTCTCCTCTTTGGCACAGGTTGTAATTTTGCACATGGTTTGAGATAGTCTAACTGTCCTCCCTAAGTATGAAATGTACTTTTTTCTCATATCTGTGCTCAAAGTTAAAGTTTTCTCCCTGTTTTCAGGTCCCAAAATGACATATTCTATCCCGCATAACAAGGTAAAAAATTGTCTGTGCACATGCCTAGACGGGTGTTGTCTTTCTTTGCAAGAGAGAGAACGTTACTTTTCCAACCTCAAAACGGATACAAAAAACTCTAATTCTGGACGATTATATAATAAAAAATAGTATGTTTATAGTAGATACAAAGTAAAATATCCTTACCCGGGAGTTTGCTTACTTTATGGGATAGCTTTTTTAAACACTTTTCAAACACTGGATTTGCAGTGTCCTCTCTTGGAACGAGGAGTAAATTCAAGGCTTACGTAGGGGTATGAGAAAAAAAAAATTTTGTCTTAAGGAAATGCTGATATGTTGCGTATTCTAGTTTTAATTAGGATCCTAAATAAATAAATCCTAATAAATCGATTTATTCATCCTAAAATACACCGTTGAAAAAGAAGCTTTTAGGATAGAAATAGACATTACATTTTGATTCGGATAAGTTGTCAATTACAAAAAAAATAATAAAAATTTAAAAATTATTAGGCCACGCAAAATAAAATCCAACTTATAAATAAATAAAAGTTTTACAGACAAGTATTGAGAGAAGATTATTTTTTAATCACCATTCATTTTCACCCATTAAAGAACTCAAGACAATCCATCCACCACGCCATTGCATATTGCAGCATACACAGAAAATATAAGTATAAAGCAACCTAATCCCTCGATATCCACCACGTCCTATAGGGTTAGCAGATCTCCAAGTGACAGCAAATTGTCCATGAAGTACACCCCTTAGAACAGCAAAAATCCAATGTAATCCTGTGCCCAAAAGAAAGCAAGTCCATCCTGAAATCCTGTTTAAATTAATTAATTAATTATTCATTCAATTCTCAATTATAATGAATTAACATTGATAACAATCTAGAAATGATAGACAATAAATCAGATATTTCTTAAAAATTTTCCATTGATTTGTAATGACTTCCGGATCAGAATAGACAATTATGCGGCTACAAGCTTTCAACATTGATCATAGAAGCTGTCTCATTAAACAAAGAGCCTGATGAGTAATTATTGCTATTGAAGTTATAACTGAAGTAACGATCTTTATCAAACAAATCACTGTCATCAATAGATATGAATACTATTGATTTTATTAAGATTTTTAATTCCTTTATGTACCATGAATAATTTTTTTTAAGTAACTGAATAAATAATGGTATCTTTTGGTAATTATTTAGTTTAGGTTGCATACGCCCGATTCCCTTGAAATTTTAGTATATTATACAGTTTTTTATGCTGAATAAGAATATATATATATATATATATAAATACGTTTATATATCTTTATCGCCTCCGCGTTTTGGAGTAAAATTATTTCATTTTTTTCAAAAAAATGAATCTACTTTTTTCGAAAAAAAAGTAGGTATCATAAACTTTAAATTGTGTGCTGTCCGATGCGGCCTGCGGCCGCATCGTTTAAGAAAAAAAAATCACCCTGCAAGTACAGCGTACCAAATTACAAAAATTTGGTTAAGTGAGGTTAAACATGGGAAAAACCTAGTGGCCTCCGTCGCGGAGGCGAGTGGGTCGCCAACGGAGTTCAGAGAGTCGAGCTAAAGAGGTGATACGGAGGCACAAAGATGTGTCCGGCGTATTTATATATACATATACATATATGTTGGGCGCGGAAAACATTCCTTCACATAGTTTTTAAGGTTTGAAAATTGGGAAATGTACACTATCTTGAATAGTTGGTATTTTGCAAATACTTGATGTTGGAGAGGATTGAGGGTGGGGCTGTTAAAAATTTAGACCAGCTTTTTTAACACCCACCCTCAATCTTCTCCAACATTAAATATAATTAGTTACGACTAATATAATCACCAGCGAGCTCCAAAAATTAATATTGTGTGATCATATTCGCTTCAATATTTCAACTGATGAAATATTTATCATATTTCTAAATTTTTGAAGCAAATCATAGAAGCAGACAATAACAAAAAAATGTAAACAAAGAAATCGATGTGTTGTGCAAATTCTTGCGTGATGACATCATTATGATCGAATAAAGTGCTACTGAAATAAAATCTAATGCACGTTATTATCGAACTTTCAACCTTGAAAAAGTATGTGAAGGAATGTTTTCCGCGCCCCATATATATATATATATATATATATATATATATATATATATATCAAATTAATGAGCATAATTTTCTCTACAACATACTAAAATTTCAAGGAAATCGGGCGTATGCAACCTAAACTAAATAATTACCTACCTTTTTTTGTATTAAAAATTAATTTTATTTCATGTTTGTTAATAATAAATTTTGTTAAGCTTCACTGCAAATGAAAGCGTTTAAAAACTAAACACTTGAAGCGTTTACAATGTTGAACGCTATAAACGAACTATAGCAATTTTGTAGTCGAATTTTAAACGTTTCTTGACGTTTACCAAAATGCTATAGTTTGTTTATAGTGTCCAATATTGTAAACACTTTGGTATTTAATTATTAAGTATTTTAAATATTTTATTATTAAAAACTTAAATTCTCTCGGATTTGCAGTATTCTTTAAATCATCACTAGATGATATTTTTAATGGATAAAATATTAATTTACTTACGGTATATTGTAGTAATCCATAAGATTCCAAACACCACGCCAATGACCAATTACAAGTGGCCCAATAATAATAAGTGATATAATAGTATCAGCAACTGACAACATGTGTTTTTGTTTTAATTGCTTTGGAATTATTGTAATATTTTTATCATGACTATCTTTGGTTTCATTATGTTTTTGATCTGTTGCTTTTTCTTTAGTCAAAATTTTATTCTCTTCATTTTCGTCATCATCAATTTTATCATCTTCTTTCATTGATTTTATTAATAATAATTCATTTATTTGATTATTTATCAATTTGTTATCATTTATTCCACCATTTACTTCATCTTTCTCCACTAAACTTCCTAAAATGAACAATAAATATCGTAAGAAATAGTTGAATAACCTTCTTCTGGAAGCTCTACTCTTCAGTCGATAATTAATTACTAATTTTTTATTAAGATTTCATTATCGACTGATTTTTTAAAATCTAAATTTCGATAATCGATAGTCGTTACCGTTATTTGATGTTTGGAAATTTTTTAAATCGACACTCATATTTAATTTGAAAACATGAAAAATTAATTTTAAAATTTAAGCTTCAACATTTGTTGGTTAGAATATTTCTAAAGCACTTTTCTACAATCTTGAGTGATAAAATTAGCAAAAATAGATATACCCTAATATCTAGTGGTATCAGGAGGATGTTAAGCTTTAACTGAACTCGATCTAACGAATCAATCGATTTTAAGAGTCTGAAGAGTAGAGTAAAAAAGTTGGAAAAAATAAGGATTATACTTACGCTTGCGCAAACACGTGAATGTTTACGTTGTTCTTTAATGCTTGAGTCTTAATAACATTATGAAAATTTATTCACTATTATTGTAAAATAAATGATATATTAAAGGTAATTAAAATTACAAATTTTAATATACATTTTTCATTCATGATAAACAATACTTTATTCATAAAAAAAAATTAATTAATTAGATTTGATTTTTTTGTCATAATGTCAACATTCTGATGACACTTTACTCAGCGGTTAAACGTTGACAGTTGTAATGAGATTTTTATAAATAGAAATAATATTTATTTTAATAGTATTTTATGTTTATTCTACAGTAAAACTTCCCACAGTGTAATACAAGAAATTTCAAACACTCCCGACAATCCAACGTCTCTGTTGACCCTTTTAATCTTTACTCCCGCATTTGTATGGTCTAATAATATTAATAATATTCAATTTTGATTATTATTTAGCCTTTATGTTTCATAATAATCAAATAACGATGTATTATAACTATTTTTAAGAAAAAAAATATTGTTTACTATTGGCTATTAGCTTAAAAGTGTAGGTAGTGGGGAAAGGAGAAGTTACGCTATCAGAGGTGACCCTGTTGCAGTATGGAAAGTGTTTTAGGATTAGGTGTTTCACTGTGAGGAGTTCTACTGTGTGATTAAAAGCATTTATGTAATTATTAATATATTTTAATGATAATAAATCGTTCTTTTATCTTAAATAAAGATGGTCTAAGAAATTAATAATGATGAAAAGCTTTTTTCAGATCATCTATTAGTAACATTTTTGTGGTTGGAAAAAATTAGTAGTTTACTTTGACAATAAACATTGAGAAAATTACATACACAATGAGCAAAACCTTGTTCATTGTAAATGACGTAAAGATTTAGGTTTTACAATAGATTTTTTCCTCTTTCAAGGTTACATTATCGAAAGAGTTTGAGTTTTTTTTCCTAAAAATGTACGTTAGTTTTTTGGTCTTACATAACCATGATCTCCTTCAAAAGCTTTTCGTTTTATCAGTCAAACAGTTTTCATTTTTTCATTAATTAGATTATTTATTATTGTATAGAACTTTTACGGTTTCTGTTTTGAATAGTAATCAGTATTGCCATTACGATTATCATTTATGTTTAGATTTATTTTTATGAAAATAATGTTTAAATAGAGAGATTATTGTTTAGTACAGTACTGAGTCATGTTTTCTTTTTACTTGTTTCACAAACTTTTAGTCTAATCTGTGAATCAATAACTTGTGCCTACTTTGAGGATACAGACGTTGTGGCAAAATCTTCATACTGTACGTTTTTAGAATGTTTAAATCGTAAAAATATTCAAGTTCTTATCAACCCAATACATTAATGTAAATAAAAATGATTGGAAATCGTCGGGATAATCAGAACTGTGATAAAAAATGACACTGGATAATTCAACATGATGTAATATATATTTAATAAACACTATATATAATTAAATATACACAAGGTGCAATAATCGAACATGAAATATCACTTGAATATATGTAAAAGTGGTGTGAATGAATAAAAAGAGATATTTCAGATATATTATTAATAAACAATTTCCAAACTGATTTTTTAGTTTTTTAATTTGTAAAAGTCCTTTGTGCTATTCACTGTGTTTACTTTATTCAATCATTTCATGTTAAAGTGTAAAATTTAATACACAAGATTTATTTTGATGCTGTGCTCATGTGAATATTCACCAAAAAGCGTAAAATGTGATATAACAATTTATTAACTCATCTGATCTTTCATCATCATCATTATCAGCAAGTAGTACAGATTGATTACACTCGTATTTCTATTTTGTTCATGTCATTTATCTATTTAATAATTAAATTTATTTTTTTATAAAAAGTTTTCTTATTCTTTTCATTATTGTTTACACAGCCGTTTTATTAAATTATAAAAATCAGCTTTCTTCAATGCAACTGTTTTTCAATTCAAAAAATTAGCTTTCTCCTTTAACATTTATTCAAATAATTAAAGTAATAAGAATTATCATATATAATTTCTAGTCGTTCACTACAGAGAATAATTTAAAATACTTTGTTAGCAATAGTATTATAATACTGCGCATATAAAAGAGTTCATTGAATAGATTAATACTTTTTTCAACTTGGTTTACTGCAATTTAGCCATAAAATTATCAGTAATTGATATTTTTGATATTTAGGGTGCATTTTATAAGAAATGAAAAAAGAAGTGCCGCCATTCATCAGGTAATTACGCCCTTTGCTATTTTTTTATTACGAATTTAGATCAATAAAAGAGTGCAATTTAAGACACATTCTTTTTAATTATTTAAAATGTATTTATTTACGATAACACTTGTAAAGAATAAAATTACGATAAAATTTATTGTAAAAATTAGTGTTTACTACCGGAACGATAAAAAAAGCTGGAAGAAGACATTTTTTAATTAATAAGATATTTAGTGTTTTTTTACAATAGAGATTATCAAAAAAAAATTATCCTTAATTATTTACAAAAATTTCCTAGATTCAGTATTTTTTACTATGCAGTTCAATCCAATATTAAGAAATTCATTAAAACAGTTATTTTCTCTATAAGAATTTTTCTATGCATAATTTATTTAAAAACAGGTTAAGTAAATAATTGTGCGTTAAAACGATAACATGGCGTCATTTCTTCACTTTCTCCTATTTCAGAACACTTGGATATATTTGTTTTCATTTTTTTATAATCAAACATGGAAGTCAGAAATGAAAAGATAATATTTTTATTTATAAAAAACAAATAAACCGATATAAAATCGATTCTATAGTAAATTATTTAAAAAAGTTTAAAAGTCCGACAAGTAACATTTGACAATCGCTTCTATCTATCATTATCATTCAATTGTTAATTTTTTTCAAAATAATTTCATTATTCATTGATATTTGATGTATACTTATTTATCTATGCATCATTAAAAGCGTCCGTATTAATATTATTGTACATATCATTAGTTATACAATTGAAAGTTAATAATAAAATAATAACAATTAGGCCACTTATTCTTAATGATTAGCACTGGATACATCACAGTTGAAAACAGGTAAATGCAATATTTTTAAGTACCTAGTTGGATAATACAAAAAATTATTAATGAATTTAATGACTAATAAATTGATTAATCAATCGATTGATTAACTCATAGAGAAATCGATGTGTGATTTCAATTTAATTATTATCAATAGAATTTTTAAATTAATTTTAATGAAAGATAGAAATAAATGTTCAAGTATTCTATCAATAAAATAATCTTTTCTTTTTTTAGCTATAATACTGTGTTTTTAAATTTTCCAAAACCTTATCTCTCCAAGTGTTAATATTTTAATTCCTCAATCAGATAGATTAGTCACTATCTACAATTATTATATCCTTACCCAAATGATCTTTTACGTCTGACTCATCAACGTAAGTATTCTTCATGTTTTTTTCTTCTACTGATTTAATGCACTGAAATTATTTGTAAGGTCAATAAACCTATCTAACTCTTTGTATCGATTACACTGAGATGATTAACCTTCAAAATTCATAAAATTTATTAAACAATCTGGTGAAATTGCTATAATCTTTGGGTTTTTGGTTAATTTTATTAAGTAATATCATGGAATTAATCTTTAGAATCGAAATCAAATAAATGAAGTTGTTCAGAACAGAGCCAAGTATGACCGAGGAGTAGCGAAAAAGTCGGAAATAGATTTCTTTTCACACCTCTGCTTAAAGTCAAAGTTTCTTCCCTGTTTTCAGGTTGCAAAGCATAGAAAGACAAAAAATCGTCTGTATATCCTTGCCTAGCTGTTTGCTCACAACTTCACACCCACTTCAAATCACATCTCAAGCTGAAGACGACGGTTGCAAACTTCCATGGCTAAAATACTATTTTTTATCATATAATTGTCCAAAATTGAAGTTTTTTTTGAGGTTGAAAAAGTGACGTTCTCTTTCTCGCAAAGAAAGATAACCCCTGTTTGGGTATGCACACAGACGATTTTTCGTTTTTCTATGCTCTGTGACCTGAAGACAGGGAGAAAACTTTAAATTTGAGTACGGGAATGAAAAAAATTCAATTTGGTTCCCATTTGTCGTTTTTTTTTTTTTTAAATAAATATGTAAACTCCGAAAGTACAATAAAAAAATAATATAACTGTTATTGTACTTACATCTTCAATATAATTGTGACGAATTTTTATATAAATAAGATTGGTTGAGTTCTTTATGTTCTTTTACTTATTTCTACAAATAAACATTTAATTAATATAAACTTTTCTTACAATTATTTAAAAGCTATGGCTATTACTTATGAACCATAGATTAATTTTGAAAGAAAATTTTCTCAGTGTTCCAAAAAATTGTTGTTAAAAAATCTTACGTCTTCTATGCGTATTCTTGGTGACATTATTTGTTCAGGATAATGCCAAGGTTTAAAATTAGGACTGTGGTTTTCTTTCCACGCTGGATAAGCTATAGATGCTTTATGTAATTTTTTAACCATCTATGTTACCAGTTAATGTTTAATTTCCAATTCGAAATTAATTTACTGTTAATTATAACAAAAAAAATTTACTTACCTTTGGTGCGTAGATTTGTGTTATTTTATTAACAAGCCAGCCAGGTAATTTTCCATGAGGATCCGTGTGAGATACATATCCTAGCTCAGATCCATCTCCATTCCTTGAAGGTCTTACAATGTAACCTGCAATAAAAAAATTATCATTTAAAAGGCGAGTTGGCAAGTTAATTTGATTATTACAATTTTATTGGTCTGTTTTTAATTAAAATATAAATCTATAACTTGGTTTGTTCAACAGACTAGAAATTTGACAGAAATTTTTGATCTGGAAACAAATCCTTTAGCATCTCTCAAGAGAGATACATAATATTCTACAACATAAATCGTGTAGGTGTGCCGCTCTTTTGTTCTCAAGTTATTTAATTTTTTAGTTGACTGCCCACGACTGCCCTTTCAGTTTTCAAAAAATCAACTTCATTGGTTTTATTTGTATTATCAAATAAAAAAATTAATCAATGTTTAAGTGATGTAGATTTACCAGTAAGATAAGAAGTTGCTCGAACAAATGGTTTTTTAGGCGGATAGTCCTTATGGTAAACTGAATGATTGATGATTAATTGCTCTCGACCGGTATCTAGCCAAGATCTTTGAAGAACAAAGTCACGATTTTTTAATGGTGATGTACATGACACTGAAAAAAATTCCAAAGAATTAAAATTTAATTTTCTTTAAAAGCAAAGTATTTCAGATGCTATAGATTGAATTTAAAAAAAATTTCTAAAACGAAACATTGCTTTAAAATGATTCATTCACAGTATGATTTAAATCTGATTTTATGAATATTTATAAATGAAATTATTAAAAGAAAAATAAATGATTGTTGACTAGTATTTTATTTCACCACAAAAAAGACAGATATCTAAAATAAATATTTATGATATTAATAAATTTTTTTTCTGTCTGATAAATAAAGATTTTGCTATTGTAGTGTCGTTAAGTGATGATTAATGATTATTATTTCTATAAAAAATGATAAAATATAAGTTTTATTTGTCTAAGCATTTTTTAAAATGAATAAAAAGTATATCAAATCATTTCCAAAATTGAAATAAATGTAATTATTTTCTAAATTTTAATCCTATAATCCCTATGAAATATTAGCCATGATTTTCATAAATTTATTAATTAAATTAATATTAATGCAATTAAAAAAGACAAAAAGAATGTTATGTCCATTTTCCTAATTTTTTCGAATTAAAAATTCTTGAAAAAAATTTTTAAAAATACGTCTTCTCTTCTTTGTCCTTTGAATAATAACAAGAATCATTCTTCTTAAAAAAAAAAAAAAATAAGCATCATCAAGAACAATACATTTCAACAATTTTTATTAATACATCACTAGAGCCCAATGGTCATCATTACGTTTTATTATTTAGTGAATGTTTTAAGAATTATTTACTTACTATTTTCTCATTATTTTAGCCTTACTTTCAAATTTGTAGAGAGTTTAGCATCCGAAATACGTTAAAAATGATTTACTTCGAAGCTAAAAAATTATTGACTTACTAGAATAATAACAATATCATTATTAGGATTAAAAAAACCAATATCTTTAGATTCAATCATATGAGTATCCCACACTTTTCTATATTCTGGATCATGTAACACATCATATAAAGTTTCTGGCTGGACATCAGGAAATCTTGTTCTTATCTAAAAGAAAAAAAAATCATAATAAATTAGCATAAATAATTAATTAAAACTTGTTACATCATTGTATTCTCTAATTCATTGATTACATTAGAAGGTCATAAGATCAATAAATGTACAAATAGTAACTTGTTAATACAAAAAGATAATTTATTAATTAATATTTCATTCACCTTGATCATTTTAAAAGTGATTCCCGGAACGAATTTCGTCCATACTGACAGGTCTGGCTTGTTATAATCCAACTTCCAATCATTATTATCATCATATAGCTTTTTTAACCGTTCGAAATCTTTATCTTCAGCTATTTTCACTACTCCAACGTCCATTTTAATTGAATCTGAAGTAATAAAGAACAATAAAGTGCTTTTAATCATCACTTTGATCTATTTTTTATTGTATTTTTACATCAATTATTAATTGATTTATAATGTAAATTAATATTGATGTATATTATTTTTTTAATGAATAAAATAATAACTAATAAGTCAATCAATAATGAAAATTTATCAACAAAAAGTGTTGGTGTTTCCTCGAAAAAAAAAAATAAATGAAAACAGTTTGTAGGAGAAAAATAAGAATACATTATAGATTATTTAACATTATTAGCATTGTTTGAAGTTACTGATAATGAAAACTAGATGATAAATACTTGAAATAATTTATTCAACACAAATAAATAATAATAAACAATTATTTGTATGTAAGTTTTATCATAACCAATAGTATTTTGAAGTGAGAAAACAATGCTTGATACATTAAAAATAGTTTTAGACATTTGTTTAAAATTCATTTCATTGTTAAATGACCTTCTAAGAACATGTTCAGTCATAAAGTGTTGAGCTTTAGAACATTATCATACTCTAGTGTCTTCATTTAAACAGAAAAAAATAACAATTTGAGATAAATTCGCATTTTAAAATAGTTAAAAGTGAAAATTTAATGGTTCAATTTTAACAATACATTTAAAGTGTCATTTTTGGGAAATAAATTGATAACATGTCATAAATAATATTTTATAACTATAATTGTTAAGAAAATGTAAAATAATTTATGTATAACATACCATAAAATTTTGAAATAATGTTAAATGTTGAGTAAACCTTTAAAAAAATTTGAGCTTTACTCAAATCTAACCTGAAAATATAACCTAATATATTTTTTAATGATTATATACCTGTTACGTTCGAATAATAGACCACGTATGTTATAAAACGGCATCAACTAGCCGACAAATGTGTTATCAGAACACTGATAAGACTTTCATATCGAGATATCAATATTTATGCCAATAATATGGATGATCAATTAAATATCCAAACACAAAATAATCCAAATATGTTCAACAATCGATTTAATAAATGTATAAGTCTCCATAATTGACTATAATATATAATCAATTGATATTAATTAAGTGTAAAAATGATAATAGACTCGCTGAAGGACAGTTGGCAAGTTACAAGTGTGCAAGGAGTCAGCTATATAAAGTATCACGCAGGACCAAAAGCAATCAAGATATATAGATAGATGTGGAGACTGCGCGCCAACTTGTTAACTTGCTTGAATATCCTCATTTCCATCTCATTATCACTTTTTTATTGAGGTCACGTAAGTTTATCTTATCGATTTATTCCTATTTTTAAGAGTTCAAATATTTTAGAGGTTCATTGGCTTTCTTTAGAATACAAACAAAGTATACATATATTTACTTGACAGGTAACCTCAAACTTCATTTTGAACTGATGATTTTTAACTGTTTGGGAGTCGAGAAAAATTTTAATATTGATTTGTAAGTAACTATCAAGTTTTATTGATATTTTTTAAAACTTTTTTAAAGAAAAAAACAATAAAGAGTAAGTATTTTTGGTACTTTTATTGTTTAGAAACTATTCTGTGTTATATAAACTAAAAGAAGGATTTAGTGTTCTCAAATAAAACTTATTCGTAGTTGGTAAATATCTGTTCTAGCTTTGCATCCAACTAATAAAATATTTGTTAGTAGTCAGACAATAATTTATTTCAACATAATTTTTGAAGATAAATATAATCATTAAAACATTATCATTTAGGTTGGATAAATTTAATAAAGCTAAAGGTTTTTATTATAATAATTATTAAAACAGTGGTCAGCGATTAATTAAAACAAGAAAATAATTTATTTAATTTATTTATTACTGGATGCCTTATCAATGAAACTTGATCCAAATTTTAGTCAAATCATGCTTTAAGTTTTTTTATTTAATTTCTCTTAAGTAAAAGAAAGATAAATTGCTCATTTTAGTTGGAATAATCAGCGCTGTTCAGTTCATTATTGAATAAATTAACTTGTTGATTTCTAAATTTTCATTTTTTTGTATTAGATAATTAATCAAATCATCAATGGATCTGAAAGAGATGGAAAAAACAACTGGAAATCCATCATTGGACTCTAAAATTAATGAATATATCCAATGGAATAAGGTAAAAATCAATCAAAAATGTCAAATGTCAGTAACTAATTGAAAATGATTCTTTAATCTTCAAATGAATGTTTTAAAAGTTTGAATTAATAATAATGTATTGATGTCAACTATGACTTAAGTTATTATTGAATGTTGTTATTATTCATACAGAATCTAACAGCAAAAAAGGAAGTTGATGATTTAATTAAGACCAAAAATCTTAAAGAATTGGAGAATCTTTTTCTAAAAAGATTAGAATTTGGCACAGCTGGTCTCAGAGGACGCATGGGTCCGGGGTATAATCAAATGAATGATTTAGTTATTATTCAGACTGGTCAAGGGCTTGCTAAATATTTAATGAAAACAATTGTCAATCTTCAAGAGAAAGGAGTTATTATTGGATATGATGGACGATACAATAGTAAAAGGTAATAAGAAAAATTATAAATAATGATAACCAAAAAAATTAGTTTTTTAAAATCAATCATAGCTATTATCACAATTATATTAATTATCATTGTTACTAGGAGATCAGACGTGAAAGTTTTGCGTTAACTACGAAATTTAGCTAATTTACCATTTTTCAGTTTTTTGATTCTGTATAAAAAATAGCTAGACTGATTTTGCTAAAAACCTAATCAGTTTTAAGCTACATAATTATGCGTCGAATGCAATTAGTCCCACGTTGATATTATTTTTTATTCTCGAGATAATCGAGACGAAAAATAATTTTGTACACACATACGCACATACATACAGACGTTTACTTAAAAACTATTGTTTTTCACTCTGGAGACCTTGAAACGTGAAAATATATCAAAATTCGGAATTTGCAAAATCGAACTCATTACTATTACTTCCCACTGGGAAATTAATAAGAAAATATTTCTATCTAAAGAAAAATCTTTTAAATTACACCATAATCTAGTGAATAATTTTGTTCATTTACTTATAGATTCGCTGAATTAACATCCACAATATTTTTAAACAATCAAATAAAAGTCTATACGTTTTCTGAAGTCTGTCCTACACCTTTCATTCCATTTGGAGTTTTGAAATTCTCATGTGGAGCAGGAATCATGGTGACAGCATCTCACAATCCTAAAGAGGACAATGGATATAAAGTCTACTGGGAAAATGGAGCCCAAATAATTTCCCCGCATGATAAAGAGATCCAAAAATGTATCTTGGAGTGCTTAGAACCTCTTCCTACATCCTGGAATACAGAAATAATTAATGGGAATCCATTGTTCAAAGATTCTTTGGAAGAAGTAATGGAAGATTATTTCAAAATCATCAAAGAGACTACGATGTATCCAAAAATAAATCAAAAATGTAATTTAAAATTTGTTTATACTCCAATGCATGGAGTTGGATTTAGGTACATGACAGAAGCATTTAAAGCAGCTGATTTCAAGGTAAATAAATTTAATAATGAAAAATGATGGTGATATTGATATGAGATTTATGACTTTGCAGCCATTTATTGTTGTTGAAGAACAAAAAAATCCACATCCAGATTTTCCAACTGTCAAATTTCCTAATCCCGAGGAAGGAAAGAGTGCTCTTGATTTGAGTATTCAAACAGCTGAAAAAAATGGAGCGTCAATAATTTTAGCTAATGATCCTGATGCTGATCGACTAGCTTGTGCAGTCAAAAAAAAAACGTAAGAAAAAAGAAAAAAAATATATTTCCAATTCTTACGGTAAATTGTCTTATAGTTAGTTAAAATATTTAAAAAACAGTAAAGTTTTATTTTTACATTAAAAACAAAATTCATTAAATAAAAATTTTATAACCAACATTAGTATATCTTTTACTCAAATAATCAACAGTTAAACCTTTTTACGAATAATAACTTTTATTTTCAATCTCAGAGGTGAATGGCATATTTTTACTGGCAATGAACTCGGAGCTCTTCTAGGATGGTGGATGCTCTATGTTTATCAAAATAAACATCCTGAAAAAAATATCTGTAACGCTTATATGATGGCTTCCACTGTTTCTAGCAAAATCCTAAAGACTATGGCAAAGAAACAAGGTTTTCAATTCGAAGTAATGACGCGTTCAAACCAATAAGAACTTCATTATTAACTTTTTTAGCTAATGATAATTGTGTTTTACTTATAGGAAACATTAACAGGCTTCAAGTGGATGGGAAATAAATGTATAGACTTGATAAAAAATAATTATGATGTCTTGTTTGCATTTGAAGAAGCTATTGGATTCATGTGTGGTCCTAAAGTACTTGATAAAGATGGGATAAGTGCTGGTGTTCGTCTAGCAGAAATGGCAGCATATCTTGATGCCAAAATGAATCGAAGTCTTATTGACCAACTAGCCGAGATTTATAAAGAGTAATTAATGATTTTTAGCATTAAAAATAGCTATTTTCATTTGAAATTCAAAAAAAAAATTAATTCTCTCTATTTCTTAGGTATGGACATCATATAAGTGACAATTCTTACTGGATTTGCCACGAACAAGATACTATTAGGCGTATTTTTAATAGACTGAGGAATTTTGAAGACCAACCAAACACGGTAAGATTTTTAAAAACTTTTTTATTCATCTAAAAAGTGCAATTCCCCAAAAAATATTAATCAATCAAAGTAACTTAGTAGCTACCAATACGTTTCAAATATGGGAAGAAGAATATTTAAAATGATTCAACAACACTAATAATAATCAAGTCGTAATGAAAATGCGTCCTAAGTAAACGATATTATCATGATAATCTATTAGAACTGTTAAGCAAACAGAAACTAAACGTTAAAAAAAATACGATCACGTACTTAAATGCGGATCATTATATGTATATCTAGCACATTTATTACGATTAATGCATTGGCTGATAGTATTGAAGTGAGTTGAGTTAGTTGTTATCATATGTATTTGAAGGTCAACCAGTGTCCAGAGAGTCAGTGAATGAGCTGGCATAAATATAAGTTAGTTTGTCGATTTGTCTGCTGTTAATTGTTAGAATTATTTAACACTTTCAGTCGTTCACTAGCTTTAGTTTAATACATTGGTACTATTTCAAGTAATATATATATATATAAAGATAGTATATATTGTTGGTGTGTCATGTTAATAACCCATAGTAATAATAAATAAATAAACAAGTTAAAGAAAACGTATATTCATAGCTAGTATCGTAATCAATAAAAATAAACGCAGTTTTGATGTGCAATTAAGAATCAATTGAATTATTTTAGTTAAAAAGGTTATTTTTGAGTTACTGAATGATATTTGATTTTTTATTATTCATCGCTTGGTTTACTGATGCATTTTTTTTGGTGCCAAAGGTGTGTGTTTTCATAAAATACAGGATGATTATATAATTTTTTTTTCTTTTAACGTAACAAATATTTTTTTTTTCTTTATAGTGAACTATGCTCTACGAAATTTTAATATAAATTGATTCTTAACTTTCATTCATTAAAGTGTCAGCAATATTAATAAATATAATATTTATCAGCATGCCAAAAGACATGACAAGTTTTTGGGTAAACAGCTTAATAGACATGTTTTTGACTTCTCTGACACTTGTACCTCCTTTTTTGTTTTGCATGCTGGCAATACCAGTCATACAATCTATGTATTTTCTATCACCTTTTTTCAAGGAAACAACAATTTTTCCTTTTTCGTAAGTTTTTTTTCAATTTTTCAAATTATTCTTATCTAGAAGAACAGCCATTTTCTTTATCTATTAAATAATAATAATAATTGATATTGATAGATGGTTTATTTATTGTTATTATTATAATTATTATAATTATTATTATTTAAAGTTATTGGAGTATTGATAATTGACGTTTCTATCAGTAATGTTTTTTTTTGTTTTTGATTTCAGTACCCAAGAAGCATTGCCGATGGAAAATATATGATAACAGGTGTTCGCGATCTAACAACTGGGTACGACAATACACAACCTAATAATCAAGCTGTCTTGCCTACGTCAAAATCCAGTCAAATGATAACATTTACATTTGCAAATGGCTTAGTCACGACACTGAGAACTAGTGGTACTGAACCAAAAATTAAATATTATACTGAATTGTGTGCATCACCGGATATTCAGTAAGTTTTAGGTTACTTCCAAGTACATTTTACAACAAAAAATAACATACATTTAGCATAAAATAAGTGATCTTATTATTATTTATTTTGCAGAGATATTAATGTGTTAAATAGTACCTTAAAAGAGATGGTCACAGCCATTGTTGATGAGTTCTTGCAGCCAAAAATGAATGGACTTATTGCTCGTATTTCCTAATTATTATTTTATTATGTAATGATCATCATTTATAATTAGAATATAAATTTTTAATCATTTTTTTTAATATTAATGAATGACAATATTTATGATTAAATAAAAGTATGACGAGAAATTTCATTGTTTTCCCAATTTCAAAGAATATGGATACCTAACGGAATTTTGAAATTTCAACATGCGGTAAAGTAGAAATGATTTATGTAATAATAACTTATCAACGGTGATGATAATTATAATCAAACGTAGCGATGTTTGTGCTGATAAGTTAAATATTATTATTATCATGACTAATTTTTCAAATGTTCACATGTTCAAACTGATAATAAAAAGATGATTAATGTTAATTATTAATTACAAAAAAGGATTTTAATTTATAAACACTTAATAAATGTTTAGGAGATATTTTGAATTCTGAAAAATGCTGTTTTATTTTGTAATAAAAATGGAGATTAATATTGAATACTATCGAATTTTCTAAAAATTTTAAAGATTGGGTTATTTTGAATTTGAAATAACAAAAATGTTATGAAAATGATGAAAATTTTTTCCTTGAAAAATATTTCTTTTTTCTTAATTGTTGTATTACAAAAAAAAAAAAAAACAAACAAAAACAATGAATTAATTAAGTTTTTTAAAAGCGCGAGGTAATTATTTGTTGATTTAATTTATTCTGCTGATAATTTAATTATTCAATTTTTCACATTTTTAAGAAAATTAATTATAGCCATGTTACTTAAAATAACTTTTGAAAGTGAAACTTCTGAGATAGTTTACTATTATTATTCCATACCAACTGTTAAGCATTGATTGGATATTTAAATAATGAACAGAATATTATACAAATATAATGACGATGATAATAATAATAATGATAACAATATTAATACAAGTTGATACGAGCAAGAGAGTGAAAGGACACAGACTGTGGGGGGAACAGGCTTTACAGACACGAAAAAGTGTTAAAAAAAAAAACACAACTAAAAAATGTTATGGAATGAAGTTGTCGCGTGGTAAGTTTACTGAAGAAAGGTCACTACTGCTCAGTCGACCCACTAACTTGGTGCTTGGTAGCACGCCAAAATTTGTCGATTATATCCCTCGTGTGTTTTGTTGAGTTAGTCTTCTACTGCAAGATAGTCGAGAGTTGTCTAGACTAAGTGGCCTACCACTGGAATTTATTTTTAATTCGCCAAGAATTCATGAATTCCTATCGGTCGACAACCTCGTTGTTAATTACTGTTGAATTACTAGTAATCGTGACATTCATTATTTACTTTAAAAAAATACAACTTTTGAAAGAAATTAAAAATCGTTTTTTTTAAAAACAAAAATGGCGAATTTGTTTTTAAGAATTCAAAATCATTTTTAAATTGATAAAATTTTTTGTTGTTCTTTGGTTTTTTTTTCTGATTAGAGTGAGAAAAAATATACGGAAACAGGACATAACAGTGAGTCCAAAAGAAATGAAATTTTGAGATTTGATTTAAATAGATAATTATTTTAATTCATTTGTTTACAATGATAAAAATCAGTTAATTTTTTGGCTGTTGGGTTGATTACGAATGGAAATGTGAGCAATAAAAATGAATAAATCAAAATAAAATGTAGTGTCATTAAAAGGAATAGACAAAAAAATCTTGAAATGAAAAATTGAGGAAAAAATTGGGCCAATTAAAAATAAATAAGAAACTCGACTTAAGTTTCATCATATGTGTGTAAAATTGTCACAACGATAACCGGTATTCTCGTTGGCTTCCAATCATTTTTATCCAAGTAAATATAAATTAAATGTAATCCAGTCACTAATTACCCAATAATAATTTAATAAATAAATTAATTAATTAAATAATGACAGTGAAAAATTAAATAATAAATACTTGAGTAAAATATTGGATAAAAAATAATTAGTAGTAAAAGCTGATTGTTAAATAAATTTAAAAAAAAAGTGTAAAATTATTGTGATATTCTATTTAAAATAATTGACTGTAATAAATAATAAAAAAATGATATTTAATCTAGTCTACTGCGTGCCACGTGTTCAAAAGCTCACTGAAAAATTCCACCAAGCGTTCTCTCATTAACTTCTTATCATTACCACAATATTTTTGTATTTTTTACTCAACAACTACATGCTTAATATATGTATATGTATATATTCGAAGTGATATATTTGTTAAAACATTTATGCACCATATTTGTTTATAGTGTATTTATTTGAAATTTTTAAGATTTATTTATTGTAAAAACATTTGTTAATCTCAAATTTTATTGTTTATTGTGTGAGTGTGAATTTACTCAAAATTATTACACTGCCGAGGATTTCTCAGTATCGGGTAAATATTTTTTTTCTTTTATTTGTTTCTATTTTTTATTAAAATATTAATTGTCGGTATTTTATAAATGTGGATTTTCTTTATGTGGGTTTGTTTCAATGGTGATTGATTAATTAGAGTAATTATAATCCTTTTTAATTGATTTCCTGTAACTTTTCAAAGTTCCATGACCTCATGGATGATTTTTTTTTCCTCTCCCGCCGTGACTGCGCAATGGTCTCTTGCGCATGTGACGCACGTGGTTCAGTCAACACACGTGTGCAATTGCTTAATTAAATATCATTTTATACAATTCATATTATCACTATTCACAAATAAATTTCTTTTTTTTTTTCTCATTCAAACAGTTTTTTTCCATTATTTGGATTTTTTTTTGTTATTGAGTCATTCATTACTCACTTGTTTCACAATTATTTAAATTATCTTGATAAATCAAAATTTTATTAACATTTTCTTTATCGTTAATGCATTATGGTAATGATTATTTTTCAAAATTATTGATCAAAACAACTAAATATGTTTCGTTTATTTATTTCTTTTTTTTTGCTTATAGTTCTTTTTCTTTGTTTTAGCTACGCAGTTACATAGCGAACTTGATTAATGTACACCTTTTCAATTTGTGTATTAAATATGTATATACATTTGAAAGTCAATTATTATTCGATACTGATTGTATTAGAGGTGATGAAAAAAATTTTTTTTTCTCATTCGTTTATTCGTGTCAATGTAAATAATAAAAAATAATAAAAGACAACAATAAAAACCTACTTTTTCTCATTATTTCAATTGTATGAATGTTTGTGATTTTTAAGATTCATAAATTTTTCTGAATTGATTTCATTTTCCGCCAAAATTTGAATTAAATATTTTTTTTTTATTAATACAGTGTTTTTGATGTGTGTAGTAAGTTTCTAAATCGTGAATTAATCATTTTGAATAATTACCAATCTTAGTACATGTTATTTTTCTGACAAAATTTAAAAAAATACTCTTTTTTCAACATTCGCTTAAAGTCTTTTATGTTTTTTTAAAAATAAATCTCTTATCATGACTATTATTACTTTTCCATAAGATAGTTTGATAGACTTTAATTTTCAATTTACAAAAAATCAAAGTTTTTTGCACTTTTCTCTGAGTAATATTCTAAAATATGTATTTTAAGTAATGTAGAATATGTAATACCATGTCTTGCTTGAAATACATACACCGATAATAATAATAATAATAATAATAATAATAATAATAATAATAATAATAATAATATATTTTAGGTGAAAAAAAAATTTGACTGATTAAATAGCCTCATTGATATTAATATCCTAAGACTTTTAAAAGTTTCTTTCAGTTTGATGTATTCCGTACGTATAAATGATAATCCTGTTGGTAAATAAACATCATAAAGTAATAAACGAAAAGCAGTAATATCTTAATAGTGATAATATATTTTAATTGGACTTTGTATTAACATAATAATTCTATTTCAACTATTTCCCCTTCATTATGACGTCGTTTTGTTCTACTGATGTCTAAAATAAATCTTAAATAAATTTGTTGAGTGATGCGAGTGTCATTCTGATAAATCAGGATATTATACCTTTTTCTTGTCATGTCTTTTGTGTTATGAAAAACACAATAAATCATTCAATAATTGTGGAAAATTTATGTGTCGAGAATAAAATTAATAAGAGACATTTTTTTAAATAATAATAATTATTTAATAATTTTTTTTTTTTTACTAATAGGATTTTTATTCTTTCAGTAAAATTTTGAAGCATTTGATAAGGCTAAAGTTTTTTTTATGATTTGATAAAAAGACAATTAAATAAAAAGAAAAAAACATACAAGTATTTATTCTTAAAAAATTTGTTTAATCAATTTAGACGAATATTTATCAAGTAAGTAGCTTTGATAACTCGATAATCATCATTTTCAAGTGATGATTATTATTTTTTTTATTCTACTTAAAAGTACTCAACGCTCCATGTAAGTACTTGAAAACGTAAATTATTACTATTATCTTTATCATGGTTATTATTATTGTTATTAATATTATTATTAATTCAAGTGAGTAATCGACCATTTTTGTGATATTAACAGTAGTAAAGTTCATTAGACAAAAAAGATAATTTCTTCCTCGTTTCTATCATCATTTTTCATCTGTCTTTGGTTCAATTATTCCAAGAATTTTACGATATTTTACTTGGAATGTTTTTTTTTCATGCTAAAATGAAAGTGAAAAAAAAAAAGAGTTAATTGTTGGTTCAATATTTGATTTAATCAATTTTTACGTTTAATGATAAATTTTTTTATCGAAATTATAAATATATTGACATGCTATATCATACATCTAGTTGATCAAGACACTTACCACACAATCTCCTTTAAACTTACAGAACAGTCTGTCTTGAGACATGACTTAAGACACTACGTTCACTAATACAATAGTAATTTTGAGTTTTTTTTGCATTTTCTATTATAATATAAGTGATTTTAACTTTTCTAATAAGTAATATATTATTTTTACATAATTTTTTTAAAAATAAAATTAGCAATTTCAACTCATGTGCATTTATTCCTCTGAATAAGTAAGTGATTTGTAGTTTCATTTTATTTTTAATTAATTAATCTATCTATTAATATAAACAATTTGATTTTTGATTCATGTTTTTTATGAAAAAAAAATTGTACGTATAATAAAAAAATTATTTTTTCCATGTACAAAATTGTAGGTAACTATTAAGAAAGTAATTAAATATTATAGAAAAATTGATACAAAAAAAAATTTTGATCTCCCAATGATGGAAAGAAATAAATGAATTAACAGTAAAATATTTATTTATTCGTTATTTCTTTTTGATCATACCATTAATTAACATATAAAATATTACAAGAAAAGTGAAGGTTGACCTTCGTTGGTCATTAAATAATTGAGAATAATTTTCATTGATTTTTTTTTTATTATTTACTTAACTAGTAATTGATAATTAATATGCAGAGTAATATTTAATAACTAATAAATGCAAATCTGGATAAAATTATGAATGGTGTTGAAAGATACTATATATCAGTTCTATAATCAATTCAATTTTTTAATGAGAAATTAGCAATTTTATTGAATAGAAAAATTTACAGCATGCAAAATAAATGACATAATCGCACTTGTGAGAAAATTTTTCAAATTCCATTATATTATACTATATTTAATTAAAATTCGAGTATAATCGAATTTTGCAGGTTATTACAATAATTTCAAGTAAAACTTGTTTCAATCTTCGATATGTTTGAGACATCTTCAAAAATATTTCAAAAATACAAACTTTTAATCTATAAACACATTTTTTTACATGGTAATAAATAGGATAATTTCTATTTGATGTAAGTAAAGTACAAATAGAGAGAATTTTTTCACTAAATGTAAGTGCAAAAATGACAAGTACACGTTTTGAAATTTATAAGTAAAAATATTTCTGTTCAGCAGTGAATTTTGGGTTTTCGTAAGTAATTATTTTACTAGGACACCTTTCAAGTATCAAGTTTACTACAAGAACTCAAAATTTACTATCACATAGAAATATTTTTACTTCTAAATTTCGATTTAGTGAAAAAATTCTCTCTGTGTAATTAAGTAGAATAAGGATAGAAACAGTAATAGAGTTAAAAATTGAGAATACACATGCGCATAGCCATGATAATAGAAAATTGATTTGCGCGCATGTCTAGCGGTAAATTTTTGAACCCTATTGTTATTCTCATTCTCATTCCACCTAATTATATAATGATCTTTATACTTTAAAATAAATTCTTTTATTACAATTTCATAAATCATAATATAGCTTTATTTATTTCTATATAAAATAATTAATAATAAAAATATAAAGTTGTTTCTCATCCATATGATTGATAACAAATTCTTACCATTTATGGGAGTTAATGCAAATTTCTTCTCAAAATTAAAACCAACCAGTTTATTACAAATAAATATCATCAATGTTAAAATGCACTAAAATTTTTAAAAAATTTTCTAGTAATTAATTTTTACTAACAATTAATATTAAAGTTTATTTTAAACTACAACTATAAACAATAAATATTAAAAAATTTGTTGTATTGCTTGAAATAGTTTGCTAGTTAATTTACTCTTTAATGAGTCATCTATAGTGATGAATCAAGCGTAAAAAAAAACGAAGAAATCATGAATGAATCCAGCTCGAAAAAATGGGTAAAATCAGCCAACGAAACAAGTATCGAATTAAAATTAATTAAATCGAAGGTCACGAATAAGTCAAGGTCTCTAAAATATTTCTCTTCATTGAAGTGATAAGAATGAGTGAGAGGAAGAAAGAAAAAAAAAAGAACAAGAAAATGATTTGGATGGGATCTATGACGTGGACAATAGTAAATTAGATGGTCGGCAATGTATGATGCTTCCCAACTTACCCAAGTCATGTCTCAACTTTATAAATTGCTTCCTCGAAATTTTTTTCACATGTCTGCTGTCCATAATACAATTAGAATTGACATTTATATTACGTGTGTACATGAGTGACATTAAAAAAAATCAATTATCAAGACTAAGAATGATTGTTAAATGGCATTATATTAATTTCATAATGTATATTACATTTATTTACAAACTTTATTAGAAAAGATTTTTAACAAATTCCCCTCAGTTTAATCGAATGATGAAATCCATTTATTTTTATTTAACTAATAAGCAAAAATTGATAAAGTATTGCAGTAGTTATTACCGCGTGACGCGAACCCAACACATTGATAAGTCATTTTTACAACATCAATTTTTATTATAAAAATATTCTCGATTTATTATTAAGTATATTATTTTTTTTTGTTTTGTTTTTATCAAATCGACACGCCTCTCATTCGCAGAAGTTTGATGCCCTTGTCGCAGTCATCGCGCGACCATGGCCCCATCGACGGAAAGCAAAAGTGACTGCTGCGAAACAAAGCATCAGAATGGCCATCCAAATGGAAAGACAGAAGAAATACAGCTTAATAATTGTAACGACAATGACAGTGAGGTAATTAATCTATTAGACAGGATTGTGAAAGTATCAAAATATTAATTATTTTTCTTACTTTTTTTTTACCATCCAACTCACACCAGGAATGACAATCAAGTAAATTAGATTAATTTTTACAAATAGTTCTTCAAGTGTTTATAGTGAACTAGACCTAGTATTTTGATTGATAATTAAATGACGGTTATTCCAACAGGTTGAGGTAGACATGGTGGTACCACCTGATGGTGGTTGGGGTTGGGTGATTGTTGCTGCCTCCTTTATGTGCAATGTCGTTGTTGATGGTATCATTTTTAGCTTTGGAGTCTTCCTCAATCATATATCTGATGCTTTTCAAGTACCCAAGTCTAGTGTTGCTGTTGCTGGTTCTCTTCAGACTGGATTCTACTTGATGGCAGGTTCGTATTCATACTTTTTATCATCTTTCCCAAGTCCTTATCTTGTTATTTTGTCGAGATATATTTTAGAATGTTTTCGAAATAATTTAAAATAATATTCTAGGACCTTTTGTCTCGGCTCTTGCAAACAGATATGGATTTAGACTGGTGGCAATAGCAGGCAGTTTCATCAGTTGTTTGGCATTTGTTTTGTCTTTCTTCAGTACTTCCATAGAATATCTTTACTTTTCTTATGGACTTATTGGTAAATCAACCTTTTCTTTATACACTTGGTTAACTTTCTGAGTTGTTGCCAATGACTTTTTTTCGTTTTATCATTATTTTTAGACTGTTATAATTCAGTTTGATGCTATTTTACCTCTGAGATTCGAATATTTTTCTCACTGATTTAATTAAAATTTTGACATGGATCAAATTTCTAGTCTTTAGGGGATATTTTTTTTTGCTAAAAAAACGATCAAATCTACTTGATTTAAATATAAAGAAAATAAAAAATAAATATAATGATGGATTACTTAACATTAAATGGAATAAATAAATGAGTTTATTTTACTAAAAATAGGTGGGATTGGTGCTGGTTTAATTTACGTACCAGCAGTAATAACCGCAGGATTTTATTTCGAGAGATGGCGCGCTTTAGCTACCGGTATCGCGGTTTGTGGTTCTGGTATTGGAGCTTTCGTTCTTGCCCCGGTCACCGATCTCTTGATAAAGCACTTTGGCTGGAGGCAAGCACTCCTAATCCAAGCTGGTGAGTGTGGTCAATGGTGTAAGAGAAATTATTTTTCTCCATTTGGCATTAAAATGAGTCTTTCTTCTCATTCATTACGGTTCATTAATTAAAAATGATATTAATCTAGATATTTATGATATAGGAATGCTCTTGCATTGTGCAATATTTGGGGCCATGTTCCGGCCCTTGAAACCTAGTAGGATAAAAGTCAAAAAATCGGAAGTAGCACAAGAGAATTTGACAGAGATCAAGAGTCCGTTGATGAAAAAAAGTGCATCAACGCAATCACTTCACGGCAGTCAATCGATGACTGTGGGATGGATTTTTGGGACAAATAATAATACTGAGTATCCTACCGCTGCTCAAGTTATTGCTAGTAATCCAAATATTGTTAAGTAAGTTGGCAATTGATCAATCTAAAGATGCTAAATAATGATTTCTTTCCTAACTTTTCAACTTTAACTAACCCAGTTTTTATAATTGTTATGTTGGATTTGATCCACATCAATGACCACTGTAGATAAGGGTCTTTTTCAAGGGATAAACGGATCATATATTGTGATATAAACATTTGTTTGTAAAAATTGGCGTCAACATAATATGAAAATGATATTGAAATAATGATTATAGTTTTTTAAATACAAACAATATTTAAAATCAATTTAAACATCAATGAAGTTATGTTATTGCTTTTAGCAATTAGTAACTTAATTATTATTTTCGGTTTGGTTTTTAATTCATAAAGAATATTAATACTTAAAATCAATATTAAATAGCACATCGCCCTATTTGTGTTATAAAACTTTCCATCATTATTAATTGAATAGTGATTAAGATTAAGAGCAAATCCAAGGAAAAGATATCAAAGAAATGTGGCCATATGTGATTTATTTTTCCCTAAGGAATTTAACGACATTTTTTGGAGCCAATCAATAAGAGACCTACATAAATTCATTAATCCACGTCTAATCTCTTTCCTTATAACTACTAAATCCCGTGGAAAAAATACTAACAAACTTCAACATTCATTTGTTTATTAAATTTGAAAAGTAATTGAAAAAGCATGAAGAAAAAAACTACTGTCTGATGCAAGAAATTTATCAAAATACATAAGCAATATTTCATTTTTCTTCGATCAAAGAGAGGGAGGAGGGGACATAAACTAACAAGTACTAATTAAAAAATCTTTGCCCAGATCAACACATTCCGCCCACAACATTCTGACGCTTAGCGGTGAAATGGAATTAAGTACGTCAGAGAAAAGGTTATCAGTGCCGATTTATTCTGATCTAGATGTTACGAAAAAAGAGATAAAGACAGAAGAAGAAAATAATTTACTGGATGGTGACCTAGAAAAGCTTAACGGTCGACTACCCACTGTAAGTATAGTGATTGATCAATGATAATTATTATTTGTGTCGAGTTGATAATTGCTATCGATCGAGTCACTCATCAACTCTACTTTAACGTGATAAGTAGCTTTGATCTATTTTCTCAACGTCAATATCATTATTATTACATGACCTTTGGGAAAATTCTTTCTGTTTTCAGTTACAAGTTCGTAGGCATACAATAAGTGGACGCCGTGATCAACATGGTAGTCAATTGTCACTTAAAAAAGCAGGAAAACGGCATTTTACATCCAGAGATCCTCAACGTCCATTTTATAGAGATGATATTTTCTATGGTGGTTCACTTGCTAGACTGCCTCATTACAAATCCCAGGTATTTAAGGTTTCAAGAAGTTGATGGAGTTGGTGATGAGTCAGTAAAGCCTCACATGATGTCCAATTTTTAGCTTTCTTCAGTGGGATATCACATGTCAGTTACTCGTCTGCCCACAGCGACTGATGTTGAAGAAGAAAAGAGTGGAAATTGTTATTTATATCCTGAAAGTGTTCGCCGAATTCTTAACACTATGTTGGATCTTCATTTATTAAAAAGTCCGTCCTTCCTCATTCTTGCTATTAGTGGTGGCTTAACGATGATGGGATTTTTCACTCCATTTACTTATTTACCAGGTAAATTTGAGTGTGTGTTTCTTTTTCTATTCACAGACTGATTAATCCCATTTATTTTCATCAGTATTCATTTCCATTGTCATCTAATATCTGATTCTTTTATTCAATAGGTCTTTTTAGTTTCAAAGAAAGGAGCTTTTCTTTAGAAATTGATTTTAAAAAATCTATTACGGTAAAAATGGCTTTAAAAGGCTTTTTAAAAAACAAATTACTGAGAAAATTAAAAATTTTATGATAAATATTAATGTTTATTGATTAAAAATACTTACTTTATCATGTAGACCATCAGAAGAATGAAGAAATCAATTTCTTTTCATTTAAATGACTTTTTAAAGACCAGTTTGAGATTTGGAATTTTTTTATTGATGGATATTTAACTTAAGAGTAGATATCATATTACTGATGACATATTTATTCTCATAGTTTTTAGCTTAGGTAATATTATTGATGATACTAATATATTCAATATCAGAAAAGTGTGAATAAAAAATACTTTCACTTTCAAAGTGGATGATAAAAGTCTTTGTATACTAAGCTAAATGTAGATACAAACTTTAATTTTGTTTTAAGTGTTTTATTATACTCTTTTCAACTCGACATATTTATTAAAAAAAAAGTATCTTTTGGTAAAGTATTCTGAAGTGAGTCTGAATGTATAAAGACTCCCATGACCCACTGTATATTCAATATCAATAACAAGATATTTTTAAATAGTCAATAAATATTTTTATATTATTACGAAACCTTAAGGTTAATAAAAATTTTTATCAATGCAAACACAAGTTCCAAACTGACAGTATTCCTCTTTTAGCATCGAGGGTTAAAATTATAAAAGCTCTTAATCTTGATCGTAAATTACCACGTAACATAATTGATAAATAAAGTAATTAATCAATTTTCGTATTAACACTTCAGATCGTGCAAAGACTTACAAGATCGATGACTCAACGGCAATGTTCTTAGTCTCTGTAATTGGAATAGCCAACACAATTGGACGAATCGTGTGTGGTATGGGATCAAGTCTTCCTGGAGTTGATGCACTTGTTGTTAATAACGTGTTCATCAGTATCAGTGGAATAATGACAATTATTTCAGGTCTTTCTCATTCTAAAGAGTATCAATTTTTCTATTCAGCCTCTTTTGGTTTAAGTGTGTGTAAGTTTAATCCAAATATTATCAATATTATATTATCAATTATTTAGTGTTTTTTTTTAGCAATTACCAATTTAATAATTTATAAAAAACTTTTGCAGCGGCATTTGCAGCACTTCGATCAATTCTCGTCGTTGATCTCGTGGGATTAGAGAAGCTTACCAATGCCTTTGGGCTTCTCTTACTATTCCAAGGTGTTGCAGCATCTGTTGGTGCTCCACTTGCAGGTTTGTGATCATAAATTTAATCATTGCTAAATTATTTAGTTTCAATTTATTGACTACTTGGATTGAAATATGACTTTAAAAGTAATTACACTATTTTCTATTTTATCAAGGTGCATTTATGGAAGCAACAGGAAACTATGATGCATCTTTCTATCTGTCAGGCTCGTTAATCCTTTTATCTGCTGTTATTTGTTATCCATTGAAGAGGATAAATGATTGGGAGAAAAGACGAAGTAAAGGAAAATCTTCCGATATAGAAGAGTCTTGATTGAAACATAAAAACTTTATGTTTTGTTTTTTTTTTTTTATACAAATTATTTAATTGTGTGAAATTGAAAGACTGTTTATTGACTCCATTTTGCTACTTAACAGCTTTGAAATAGTGTGATAAGACAACTCTCACGTGAAGCGGAGTCAAATAGAAGCTGCATTTAATTTTTAGTGAAACACTCAAATGATAAAAGTGAAATGTATTTCTTTCTTAATCTTTTTTCTTTCTTTTAATTTCATTTTATATTCTTTTTTTTTTTTTTAATGTAATAATATCAAAAGTGTACATTTGAAGCAAAAAAAATTATTTTCACTTGAGAGAGAATTTATATTTGTTGATAAACACATGAAATTATTTAAGTATTTACTTTTTTTTGAAAATACTCTCTCACTAAATAAACGTTTAATTGATAACAAAATAATATCAGAAATAGAAATAAAGATGTATATGTACATGTATGTATATAAAAAAAAAGCATGCTGCGATAAAATTAAGAGAGTGGGCATTGGGCAAAAATTATCGGAATGGCTGTTTGTTTTAAATCCGATTAATTTAATCGCTCCTAAAGTTGCCACCTAGTATCTGTCTTAAATGTTACTGTTACATATGAAGGTATAAAAATATTTAGATTAATAACTTGATGTTTATATTGTTATATTTAATTATTATGTTTAGGTTGAACAGTTGTAAATTTTAGGAAATTTTTATTTTTAAGTTATTGTAATTTCTACTTGTAAATATTGAAAAAAGAATAACTATTTTTCACCTAAAAGAATGATTTTTTTTTCTCTTTCAGAAAGCATCATTTCCAATTAAAATTGTGTGCTTATGATGAATTAAAAATTCAAGATTATGTTATAGACCAAGAAAAGTGTCTTCTCGGAGTGATACAAGGGCTAAAAAAACATTTGTCCAACTCTCAAGACATCTGAAGACTTTTCTCATTTCCTGATTACAATAGTGCCATCAATTTTAGCTTAATCCATTCTTAATGTCCTAATTTCTGCGAAAAATATTTCTTTTTCCAGTGTTAATGTCAGTGTGATCAACTAAATAAGCAGAAATGGGTTTAATATTGAATGCACTAAAGAGGATAAAATAATTTACATACTTTTAAGTGTGTAACATATGTATTATATATAACAATATATATTATTATATTAAATGTCATAAAAAAAATATAAAAGTCAATATACTTTGGAATGTAGAAAAAATCAACACACTTCAACGTATATTATGATAATATACTTTAAAGTGTGTAAATAATTGTAAACTATTCAAAATTATTGCATCCTGGGAGTATGCAAAAAAGTTAACATATTCTTCAATGTACATTACAAACGTTGTTTTTATCGTGTGTACCAATTTCCTCAATACTTATAAATATTTCTTACATGAATAAAAAGGAATAAAAACTATACAATTTATCGATACAAATTTGAGGTGATTTAAGTTTACGAAAGCTCAGCTTTAGGGCTTGTTATTTAGCATACCTTGATTTTCATTAATATAATGTAAATTTTACAACATTATTAATACTTTAAAGTGTGTAAAAAGATTAATCTTTTATAAAGTGTGAAAATTACCACACTTTATAATATGAAAAAACAATGAAGGTTTATTTAAAATATATAAAAATTAACTACCAATTATTTATTTATTTAAAAAAAATCCTCTAGAGTGTTAAATAGAATTAATAGTGAAATTCGTTGAAGTTGAAAAAAGTATATTTGAATAAATAAATAAGTAACTGTGGAGAATTGAATCGGAAAAAAATCGTAAAACATTGGAATTAATGAGGGAGGAACAAACGTATACCTGCGCCAAGGTCCTGCAGATACATTGCGACATGGAGAGAGGGTGGCAAGGTACAAGAGCATGAGTGGGAGGCCATTGAACGAAGAGTAGAGAGGGTTGTCGGCGCATAAAGGGGTGAAATGTTCTACGGCGCATAAAGTGAGAGAGAAATCCTATTCTCTTACTCTGTATCTGCAGCATCCTCTCTCTTACTCTCAATTCTGGCTTAGTCTTCACCAGCCTCCCAGGCGTCCAGTCGAGCCCAAAGCCGGGTACTCAACACTTTAATTCACTTCCGTCTTTTTTCCCATTCACATGCACATTTATATTTCATTATTTATTTATTCATTATCTTTTTTGGTTTCTTTTGTTTTTTTTCTCTCCAATTAACATCTCCGAGTGTTCATTGATTTGCTTTATTAATCATTTGATTTAATTCAAAGTTTCACTTTTATTGTAAATAAAAATATAGTTGATTTTTTGGAGTGTTTTGCGAGTAAAAATGAATTATTAATTAATTTAAAAGTTTTTAAATAATTTTTATTTAATTCTGATCAGTTGGAGATTTTTTTTCTTTTTTTCTAAACAATTGAAAGGAAAGAAAAAATAATTTTACTTTGGTTAATTGAGAAGAATCTCGAGTTATTTTAGTTTTAATTAAGCATCGTCTGCTACTAACAAGTGAAGTTTCTAATTGGCAGACCGTGTGATATTACATTTTATTTATCTAACAAATGTCTTTGACGTAGCACCTGGATTCATGACAAGTAAATCACGTTTAGTTTAATCAAGTGATTGTGATAATTAAAATTAAACATCACTGATAAGTAAAAATAAATTAATCATTAATTAATTAATTAAATAATTAATAATAAATAAAATTTCTTATCTAGTGGTAATCAAATAATCATTAACTTATTAACAGTTTGATAAAAAAGTGAAGTAATAATATTTATTCATTGAAAGTTTGGACATAAAAAATTATTCGAACAACTTTTCTATTTTTATATGACGAATTTCTACGATACGTGACAAAGTTTACGACTATGGCAAGTGGACAAAAGGACCAAAGATACACTTACATGGCTTGTCCTCTACATGATGCAAGTAAGTTTATTTATTCAATACTAAGTTTGTCTAATTATAAAATTATATACAAATTGTTTGGAAATATGTTTTCATAATAATAATAATAATTCAAATATATTTATTCAAGTATTGTTTTATAAATAGAATTTAGTGTCAATAGTATTTGTATTTTTTTGAAAAATTATGATATACATATATAAAATACGAAATAATGTGATAAGTAAGTTTTTATTTATTAGAGAACAACTTTAGGAAGCTATGTACGATTGTTACATTCAGAGTCTCCGAAAGCATGTATAAATATTATTTACAGGTTTTTATCCTACTTAATTATATTTAAGACGATATTTGAATATTTTTCAGACGATATTTTTGTCAAAATTGTAGACTATCTATTATGGTAGGTTTTAATTTAAAAATGATCACTTAAAAAAAATAATCTTTAGAATATTCATATAAACTCAATTCAACATGATGATGAGAAGTTTTTATTAATAAATGTCTTGTGAACGACATGTCAATGTTTAACATTACCATCATCAAGTTCTTATATTTATATATTCATTGATAACATCTAAATGTTATCTCCATATCAATAATTATTAAACAATTATTAAAGTCCATTTTTATCAAAAGTAATCCAACATGTGTTTTCCATTGTGCATGGTATATTGTAGTTATAAAAATACTCGTGTAAATATCGGAAATGAAAAGTATTCAAAACAAGTTAGTGAAGATGAATAAATAATATTTTATCTCCCAGTTTCTCCAAAACATTTACGAAGCCACAAGTTGTATTTAAAAAGGCAGAATGCCAAATAGGAAGTGGTAGCATCCGTTTAGAGTCAGACATAATGTCTAGGATTGAAAGATGATCTAACATCATATTTTGAGATATAGGAATTCAAAACATGAAGAATAGTTTGATTTATTCGAGGAAAAGTAAAAAAAGAGTTTATCTTAACAAAAATAAAATTAAAATAATGTCATAATCAATTTTCTTAAATGCTACTTCAATTTATCAAATAGGTTATACTTTCAATCCAGTTTCTTTCTGTAATCAAATTTATTACAACGTTTTAGTAACAATAATCATCATTATCAAGTAATCTGATTGTCATAAAAACTTTAATGGGTGTAAAACTTGAATAAATAATTTAGATTAATCTCCATGATCATAAGAATTACAGGTTCATGTACGGTCCTGATGCTAGACAAAGACATTTATTGTTGTAAAAGCAATTCAAAGTATAGCTAAAGTAAAGTATTATGATAGCAATCTTTATACTTTATCTACCTATCTGGATAGTTACCACAACTGTCCTAATTATTATATATGAGCAAGCAAAGAATTTATATAATGCCAGTACCCTGGATGCTGAAGATTAGAAAGTTAATCTAAAGTGTACAGAGTTGCTTTTACAACAGTGCTTTTTTTTTTAATTAAAATAAGTTTTATTTGATAAATATAGGAAATATTAATCATTGCTCTTGTTTTAAAAAATATCATTACTTAATTAATTTTTCTTAAACTTCTACTTGAATTTTTTTCCTTGTTCTCCACACTCGGTATCCTTTCATAGATATGTATATTATAAATAATGTATAAATATTTATGTATATATATAGAATATGTTCAATGATTCGATTTTCTTGTCATCCTAGTCAACACATGACATCTATATTTTCTGCATCAGTAAAGTCCCTTTGTACTCCAGTGGGAAATTAACTGTTCACTTTTTCATTCTTGTTCTACTCAACATGTTACTGATAAAACTGTCATGACATTGTACTGAAAAAAAAATATTATCATCAAGTAAACCATTTATTCAATTAAAATTACTCAGTAGGCAATAAGTAATTACTTGATTGGATCATTTAAATATTGGAACTCAATACTTTCATAAAATGTTGTTATTGGAATTTTTAATCTCATGATTGTTTTCAATTATCTGATATAATATTGCACAATACAAGCCCGCCCATCGCTTATTATAAGTTCTATTCTGCTTGTTATCAAGATTATTAGTGACTTGGGTTAGCTTACACATCAACTTATTAGCACACTCCAATCATTAATTATTAGCTAATATCACAAATTCATGAAGATTCAAGATAAAGATTGTTTTTGGAGATCAGTGTTATGATTACAATTTATCAACCTACAATGAGGAAGATTTTATGCTTTTTAATGTCTTCAAGTTCTCGTTCCAAACATTGTTAGCATTCTAAGTTGGTAGCATCTTTCCACTTTTTCTGAATTCTTCTCCATCTTTCCTAGGGTAATGAATACTGTGGCTTTCAGTACACTATTTTTTGAAGGGTTTGTGAATAACAAACTGTAGAAAAAAGAATTTTAAAATGAATTGTTAAGATAAAATTAGTTGATAAGAGTGGAATAAATTTAGTGGCAATAGTAGTTATTTTTAAGAAGAAATCATTTATAACTAGAGAGTCAGCGACGAAAATTTCTTCAAGTACACGCGTAGAACGTATTATATACATAAACCATAAACACCTTGAAGTATTTATACAATTTCGTATTCACCTTATGGCTCTATTATTATCACAGATATGTTTAGTTGCAATTTCATGCCAAGACTTGGGTTTAAATGGACTTGAAATTGCATGAAAGCATTGCAAACAGTTGAGTTTATGTCGAGTAGTAAACTCAGCATGTGACTTGAAGTTTCTCTCTACTCTAGACATTAGGATTGTTCGAGTTTAATGTTAAACAACATTTTGATTTTGATTTACTTTGAATTAATCTCATCTGTTGAAAGTTCTATTTCATTTTGTTAAAAGTTTCATGGTTTTCATGGGGGACAAAAATAATCCCAAGAGAAAATAGAGAAATTTATTATTAATTTTTAATTTTAATGAAAAATTAAATGTAAAAGAAAAAAAAAACACTTAATTAAAAAATTGAATTAATTTTTTTCAAGTAAATTAAAAAAAAAAAGGTAAAAAGCTGTTTTGTGGAAAATAAGCACACTTTTCTTTATAATTTGCTTTCAAGTTTATTCATAACTAACTTATATATTATTAAAGCCCACAATTACGTTCCTTTCACTGCTCTACCATCACCAAACATCAAACAACCCTAAATTCTCTCTCTCTCTCTCTCTCTCTCAAATGACTTTGCATTCATTAAAAAAGTAAAACGAAGATTACCAAAAATATTCTATTCATTTCCTTGATTCTCAATTTATAGAAAAGAAGAAAAAAAAATAATCATGAGTGACTTTAGAGTCGCCTTGACCCAAAGCATCGAATGAATGACAAAGCTCAATGTCTGGTTCAATAGCAACCTATTTATCTTCATAATTTCCATGTCTTTATTGCAGCAATAATCAATGTCGGTTCACGCACTGACGCCGATGATTGCAAGGCTTATTTCAAGCACGCTAGACCACGTGAGTTGTGACTTTGTACTTCATCAACTCACCCCACTTTATAGGCTTGGGAGCGTTGCGACGCTATTGCCAGTATTGCGGGGGTGCCGCGTGTGGTAACTTCTATATCTTTACATTTTTATTGAGCTTTAAAGTTTCAAAACAAACCTCAAAGTTAATATATTTCCTTGAAACTGTGATTAAATAAAAAATACTATTTTACTCTAGTGTCTTGTTTCATTGACTGTCGCAACCTTGAAAGCTCACTTCCGAGCTTTTTTTATACATATAACCACTAAAACTTAAGAAAGTGTAGTTTTTTTTTCAATCATCAGAAAAAAGCTCTGATTTGATTTTTAAAAGTTTACTTGATATTATTGATAAATAGCATGAATGTTCGTTTGTTACATGAAGAAATTTCGTGACGATAGTAATTTGAAATCTGCTGATCAATTGAGAGTTTTTCCTATTAATGTATTATCGTATTTGTGTAGCCAAGTCTTAAGTGTATGTGTATTTGGCATGCTCTATCTTGTTGTCACTATATCGGCCATGATCTTCAGTAACATTCATAGCTAAAAACAGAAACCCACTCATCTAATAATTAAATCTAAATCAAAATAAAAAAAAGGTTTTATGAAATTCATCGAAACGTACTTTTTAATTATCCCTGAAACTTGAACACAAAAAAGCCACACCATGAATTTGATGTTTCGAAAGAATTTTGCTGGTGATAAAGCAATAAGTGGTGAAACTAGATCAGGAATATCTGGATCCTACACAACAACTAGTGGTCCAAGTTTAGGTACCACTTTGGGACAAGGATCGTTGACCAATCGTATTGGAATTAGACCTAGTATTGTTAGCCCTAGTGGACGTGGACCAATAAGACGTAGTCGAGATTTCGGTTATTCACCAGCTGATGATCATCCAACTCATGCCTATCGCACTCACTTATTTCTTTCACCTCCTTCAGGTATTGTGGAAGAAGCGCCTGAAAGAATTGGACCTGGACCGAGAAGAAACTCTGGATCTCATGTTATTAAATGGGGTGGGAATGCTGGAGCCAACAATACATCAGCTGCCAACAAAAGAAAACAAAGTAATCAAACTAAAGATGCATCAGAACCTGCTACTCCAACTGCATCGAGACAGGTACGTTTAATTTAACTTTCCTTTTAATACTACCTATTTTATACATAATTTTTTTCTTAAAATAGGTGTGATGTTTATAGGTAGTTAAAATAATGCAGCAACGTTGCTGGAGATGTAATTTAATTCTAAGGTTAAGGAGAATTAATTAATGAAGAATAGTCAAGAAAATTAATGGATATTTTTCATTAATAATCATCAAAATATTGTCTAGGGAGATTCAGAATAATAAAATTTAAAAAAATAATATTTTTATTTTAAATAATGAAATAACTATCAACATCTAGATAAGAGAAATGGTCGATTCTAAATGACAAACTGTAGGGAAACGAGCGTCCATAATCCATATATGGGTGAGAAAGGAAATATTATACCTCCACTGACATGTTTATCGCGTGTGGACTAAGAATTTCCGTGATACTGTCTCATCCAAATGCATAAAACCAAACTATTCTTGCTGATTAAATAATAATAAAAAAAAAAGAAAAATAAGGATTTTCATTCGAAGAATTAAATAAAATATTCATTAGCAAATTGTAAAATGATTAAAAATAACGATAAGACCATTTATGACACCATTAATCCTTCAAGAGTCCTAATGCATCATAGCTTGTCTTTTCACTCGTGCAAATACATCGTGAGGTCGTAAATTTTATTGACTACATGAAAAGTCCAGTTGCTTTTCTCTCGACGCCTATGTATAGTACTTTTAAATATTTAAAAGTTTTGGTAGGCCTCAATGTTTAGTCACATTACAACAGATAAGTTTTCCACCTAGGTATACGATTGCAGAAAGATGAAAGTCACTGTTAAATATTCCACTTGTATATTCGTCAATTATTGGTTATCTGTTTGAATTCAGTGATTATGATAGAAACCTTGTGTTAAAATCGATGAAATATTTCATTCGTGATCGATTGGTTTCACCTATCAAGCAATAAACTTGACTGTGTCGTAGAAAACATGGCTTCTTCAAAGGTTTACATTTTTTTCCATCATTAGACTACGGCCATCTTATCTTAAAATCCGTTAAATAAGCATCCTTATCAAAAAGACAAGTTCAATTATTAATTACTAGTGAATTGGAACCACGAGAAGTGTTCCGGTTTCCAACATCTCCAACAACTGTTGGCAGCCAGCCAACAACTGATAGAATTCATTTATTATTATGAAAAATACTGAGACATTCCTCAAAAATATTAGATCTTGAATATACATATATAAAAAAAAGCTATTCCATTATCTCAAGTACCTCTGGCATAATCCATTACATAAATTACTTCAACATAAAATTTTATTCAGCATTTTTTTTATTCCAGGTGTCCTTCAATGGCAACAGGCCAGCAGGAATTTACACGCCACTCGTTGTTTCCGGCAACAGTCCACCAAGAGGAGAGCCAAAATCACTTGCAACACTAGACCGTGACTGTTTTATTATTCCTCTAGCGTCTCTCGAGCGTTTCCTTCCAGCAGGAGTGCCGGTATTTTATTCAAGTCATAATAAAAAAAGCTAAGAAGTCTTGAAATCTTTATCATTATTCCTGTCGTGACTATTTTTCTTATTGTAGCACGCTCCAATAGCTGATAAAAAACGTTCCGGAAGTCCATTATCTGTCCTTGAAGTTGAAGATCCAAAGCAATGCGTCTTGGCACATTTTATGACACCTCTGGAGCCACTTGATCCAATCGTTGAATCTCCAGTCGCGAGGCCACTAGTTCTTCAAAGAGATACCGCAGCTGAATTGATCGCTGAAATCGCACCGTCTGCTTCCCAGAGCATTTTATTGACTAACATGGAACGGAATGGTAATATTTTTAGACATTTAGAATTTCTAGAACAATGATAAGAGGTTGATGAAAATGTCGTAGCTAATCTCTAGTGATGTAGAGAAATACAAAGTTACTCAGTATCTTTGCTACAGTGTTATCTAAGTGGACTGAAAGGGTGAATCCAGGTCACTTTTACCATTATTGACCCCGCAATTAAAAGAGCTGTCAATTTTTAGATCCACCCTTGTAATTTTCATCCCTTTTTTCTGTTTATAATTATTTTTAATTTATTAAAGATTAATAACTTTAGCTAAATTACTTAACCATCCTTCTTTTTAATGCATATTTATGATGGTTCAATTTTATTGTAAAAATATCCAACTATTAATAAAATTATTTTGTTCCAGCGGACTTTCCTTTCATCACATACTACTTGATAAACAAACACAATACAGATCCTGCTGATTTTTATCAAGAAGTTCAATGTGCAGCTTTGAGAAAATTTGACCCAAGGGATCTACGCTATGCTGCCAGTCACACATTAGATCTCTTCAATGAAGTTGCTACGATAGCACGACCACCACTAGAACCTCCAGGTGGTCGTCCACCAATTCCTTCCACTGGATATATTGTCTCCATCTTTAAAGTCTTTGAGGGTGATGATGGTCTAAAATTTGAGCAGAATTGGCTCTACTGGACTGGTAAGTCATTTATGTTACAAATGTTCAATATCTAACTCTTTTTAAAGTTTTCATTTATTCTTGTCGATGAAAATTAACAAACAACTAGTGTTGTTAAATAAAATGTCTCATTAATTAATCCAATAGTGATTATGACACCTAAATACTCTAGTTTTTAGGACAATAATTGCTCCATCTAATCAATATTGAGCACCCTGACTGGCTTTGATCCAGTTTTTGAATGTAATTTTTCATTTCAGGTGCTAGAATGATGTATCGATATTTACCAAAATCAGTTGGTCTGAAGAGAATAACCCTTCATAAATCAATGTCTCAAGGAGATAAAATGTATCTGCTCATTTGCGAGTGTTCACAGCTTCAAGATAATTTATCGGCAGCTGCTATTTTACTGCCTGCTCTACGAGCACGTCTTTGTGGTTACACAGGACTATACAGACCATCAGTGTGCTTTTGACTTCGCATTAATAATATTCAATTAATGAAAAAATGAACTGTTTTTAGATGAAAATATTTTAAAAAGTGTACTGTAATTATTTAAGCAATGAAACATTAGGGAACCAATAATGATAAAAATATCGTTCGTCAGTGCTGACTTTATATTTTTAAGAGCCATTTTTACAATCGCTAATGAATATAATTAATTATTAATTAATTAATAAATAACGATATTGAATAATTATGATATGATGAATGAAGTAATTTAACAGTTATCATTCACGTATATTTATATACATAATTACATCCATAATAACATATCAATAATGTTTGATAAGCTGTGATATCATGGGAAATATCGTGTATCACACAATTGCTATTGCGTAGGCAACTTTTTTAAAACCTACTATGTATAGTCTTTTAACTCTTTACAATGACGATTAACTAATTAATATTTAATTAATAACATTAATTACTGAATAATTGAAATTTTATCGAATCTAGAACTTGTCCTCAAGTTGATACACTTGATCAATAATGACTTGCTTATTTTTTCAATCAATTGCCAAAAATTCATAGTGCAATTTCCGGTGATTGAGGACAAATGTTTTGTAGAATTTTGGGAATAAAAAAAATAAAATATTGGCTCAATAAATTTTTTTAGACAGTCTTTGATGACTATAATAACAGTAGAATTATTAGATAAAATAATTGAACCAATTTTCAAATAAGATGAATAAGTAGTCCAAGTCAATGTAATCGTGATATACAGAGTTTTTAGCACGGCTGGAATTACGGAGGGTATTTTTAGGATTGGTGAAAATCATTGGAGATATTAAAAAGAGTGTTTTTATCTTAGATAAGGGTTGAAATATCCGAAAATTACACTAGAGTTTACTCTTTTGTGATTCACTAAAAAACTGTAAGAAATACAAAAAAATATTTAAAATAAAAGCTTTAGAGGCTGCAAAAAAGTCATCACATTTTAAGTCCTATTCCTCACGGTTTAGCCAGAGATTGACAATCAACATTAAAAGATCAATTTTTTTTTCTTTTCAATTTTTTTGTTTAATTTTTTGATCTTTATGATCATTTTTTGCTAAACTATGAGAAATAGGAGTTAGAATGTGATGACTTTTTTCATGTAAATTTGCAGCCTTTGAAACTTTTATCTAAAATATTTTTTCGTATTCTTTAAAGTTTGCGGAAAAAGCGTTAAAAAGTGACTGGACTACAAATACTAGCTCATTTAGACCTAGATTTCAATAACAATCGATTATTAAGCAATTTTTATGCTTGTTGCGTAATGACAATAGTTAGATAATTATTGCGCAGGCGCAATTAATGATTCCTATAATTATGAATAATTGAATTAATAAATTAGTTGATATCTTAAGTTTTCAAGATTGCAGGAAATTTTCTAGACTAAATACTAGTGGGATAAAATTTGTCATTAATTCAGTTAATTAAAAATTATCGATGAGATTGGTAAAGAGAGAAAGGGAGAACGATTGAGAAAAAAAAGAATGAAACCAAAAGAACAGATACAAAAGGCAACATGCAAATACAAGAAAACAAGCCTTGATAAAACAAAACTGTGATTAAAGTATTTCAAAAAATACTAATGGTCTTTGATACATAATACAAAAAAAGCACAAATTGTGATTACGTGTTTAAAAGAAATTATTTCAAAAGCTGAAGAAAAATGTTTTTTAAATTGAGGTAATTGTTCAGAAAATACGATTTAATTTAAGACAATGGAAAAAAACAAATAAAATCATTCAATAAAAATATTCTAGTAAAGTGGAAAATATTTTGAAATTAACTAATTATTTGATTACTTGTAAAATTCAATTTTTAAATACATACTTTTTTTACGATCAATTTACATTTCTAAACAATTACCATAATGATTTCATTTGAGAATAACAATGTGGAAAATTGATGATTAACAACATCACGATATTCATTAGATACAATGAATATTATTAATTGTATAGTATCTCTTTTGTGATTTATCGAATTGAAAATCAATCAAATGAAAAAATCAAACATAAAGCTTAAGCTTGACTTTCATTAATTGTTAAAATTATATAATATGATCTAAATAATAACAATAATTTAATTTGCAGAGAAATTTATAGCTTTTCAAGAATGAATAAACATTTTTGAACTTATGTTTTGTTTTATTTATCACACTAAACAACCTATTTTATCCTTACTTATTTATTTAATTAAAATAGTCTGCATTTAATTACAATATGTACAGCTTTGTTAGTTGACACATTATTTTGTAACGATTCTTTGAAAAATGATGTTTTTTTCATTATGTATCTAATGTATAGCACTAATAGTCTCGAGGACCACGAAACCTTCTTCTTGCATCAATCTAGAATAGCAAAGAAATCGTTAATTTATTTGGAATCATTCTAATGCAGCAGGGATGATTTTCGTTGATTCTTAATTGTATTAAATACTTACCAATGATCTTTTACATTCATAAAATACATTCTTTAGGACATAACATTCATCAGGAATTGATGGATCTCTGTCTAGAAGACATTGTCGAGGAGTTTTTTTGTACTGAAAGCAAATAATTAACACATAATCCATTGTTTTCCATCTTTGTAGGTTACAATGATTAACTTCAGGTTAGGTTGTCTATCAAATATGTTCTTAGTAAATTTTGTTAATAATTTCAAGAACAGAAATAAATCATTAATGATAAAATTGATAAAAAAATTATTGGTCTTCGTTGAATAAACGAAATAACAAAAGAAGTGTTGTTGTTATTAACCGGTTGTTGTTGCAAAAATAATGTATGCAACTAGCCCACCTTTCTACAACAGTCAGTTTGTAGTAAACACATTTTCAAATCATCTCTAATGTTCGCACAACGTTCCTTGCTTTGCGGTTTATCAATTACCACTTCATTATTATACATATTTCACTCAGGTATTATTAAAAAAATAATTCAAAAATTACACTAAGAAAATTTGCGTTTTATTAAAGTTAAAGGGCACTAAAGAAGAGTCGGCGAATGGGGAGCATCCGTCCCGAATTAAAAAAAAATGCCCCTCCAGAGCCATTTTGGTAACCGCTAAATTCAAATCGAGTAACATACAGGGTGTCCGGTCCCTTATGGCAAAGCCGGATGTATGATATGTAAAAAGAAAATAAAAATGATCTGATATGGAAACTTATATTCGCAAATTGATAGTTTTTGCGAAAAAAAAGTTCAAAGTTTGGTGGTTCAATTCGCGTTTCTATAGAAATTATCACCATTATGGCGAACTTGTCCAAGGTACTAGATCGGGATTTTCTGTTATTACGTTGGCTCCTTTGAACATGCGATATATATCAGAGAGAAGACTTCTCTCTGTATATTGTCGAACTGAGAAAAGAGTTCCTCAATGCTTTCGGGCTCTCCACTACTGATTTTCTACCCCTTCTACCATGTTTTTTACTAATGCGCAAGCGTACAGTACCGGACATAAATGCTGTGTGATTTTCTATAAGACGGTATAGGGAAATCCATATATCTAATACTCCTATATTGCTAGTTCCCGTAAGTGGGCGCGTGGCCTATGAAGTGAGACAGAAAATGAATATGTCTGTCTCTTTCTTTTCATTTGAACTGTTGTGCGCAAGCGTCACTACCGTAGAGGGAGAATTGGCAATTGGAAAAGGGCAAGCCACCTCCCTTTTTCACAACTTAAAATTGAGTTATAGTAAATAAGTTCCTGTATGCTTCGTAGCTCAGCGGTAAAGCTCCCGACTCCGGTAGTGAGTCTCGGGTATTCGAATCTCTTCATTCTTTTCTTTTCTCTATTATTATTATTATTAGTAGAATAACTTCAATTAATAATTGTTTAAACATGTATAATAATTAAATCATTTATATATAATAATTTAATATCTAATTTCAAAGGTATTTCTATACATTATTTCTTTGTAAATAAATTTATAATAAATAAAATAATCTAAAGTTGTAAGAACAAATTAATTTTTATTGTTCAATAATTCTAATTCAATTCGATGACTATAAATGATATTTTTAAATACCAGTATAAATTAAATTGTTTTATAAAAATTACAATTGAAAGTTTTTGAAGAATTAAAATTTTAAAGTCTTTTCCCCAAGCTGCCCCAACTCCTTGAGTTTGACCCAACATCCACAGTAATAAAATAACATGTAATAAATGCGAAAAATAATAATTAAGTCAATTATTGTTCCTTTAAATTATTATTTTTGTATTAGATTTTACAAACTACATACTAATCACTTTTGTACATCGCCACAATAGTTAACATTGCTCTCCTATTTTTTAATTATACATATATAAATGTGATGATGATAAATAAATATTCATGATTATTAATTTAAAAAATATTTTTTTCCTGTCTATATTTTAATGACAATTATTATACACTAAATACAATTAAAATGTGATAATGATAATTATAAATAGTATACAAGCTATTGGATTTTAAATATCTTTATTTAATAATTTTAAAGTTTACTGTATAAAAAATGTAGCATTCATGAGCTCTGAAATGCATTTTAAACAATTTACAAATAGAAATGTTTTTTTTCTTTGTTAATGAAAAAAGATTTTATTTCATTTTTTTAAAATGAAGTTTGCATATTCTACTTCTTATAAGCAGCTTCATTCAAATGAACAACATATTTGAAACAGGCATTTTAGAAAAAATGGGGAATTGATTAAAGGATATAAGGAAATAAAAAACTAAGATAAAAAAAAGAATATTTAACAATAAATAATTTATTATTTACACATACCAGTATACCAAATTATACATTATTAAACTTATTGGTGTTTAAATAATACGAATTTTGTATATTTTTGTCTTATAAAATGATCCTTCTCGGACATTTTTTTGGCTTCATAATGTAACCGAGTATTTAAATATAATTCAATAACGTATTTGCAAAGTTGCGATCGATGATTATCCAAAATGTGTTCATTCATGATTTTATTGTCAAATTGCATCCCTATGTTGTTAAATATTTTATTTATTAGAAATTGTTTAATTGAAGGTTCACTTATTTCCGATTGATATTTTCTGATAATCTGTTCGCAAACTTTGCAAATAGCCATTACATCCTTTGATGGTGTTATATATGGCCCGCGATTTTTTATTTGCGATAATAAAGGCATTGTGCCTTTAGTAGCGTCGCCTTTTAATTGTATAATACAAACTTGACATTTTACATGGAGTCAATTAAAATATATAAAAAATTGGATGTAGCATGTAAAACAGACGCTACTTCACATGCAAAATGACGCTATTCTATTTGCAAGGGATGCTATCTCATTTCTTGTACAAATTGAAATGCTATCTAATGCGCACGCTCTATTCACGATCATGCGCACAAGTCGCAGCGTATAATAAGTGAGACAAACGCATATATGTCTGCACTGTAATGTTTAAGTCTCTCTCCCTATACCGACTAGCAATATAGGAGTATTACATATATGTCAATCCGTATCCAGAACTGATGGTGCCCTGCATTTTGGTGAGTAATTTGTGTATGAGTGTGTACGTCTAATATATGTATGTATATATTAGACGTACACACGGGCACCATCAGTTCTGGATACGGATTGACATATATGTAATACTCCTATATTGCTAGTCGGTATAGGGAGAGAGACTTAAACATTACAGTGCAGACATATATGCGTTTGTCTCACTTATTATACGCTGCGACTTGTGCGCATGATCGTGAATAGAGCGTGCGCATTAGATAGCATTTCAATTTGTACAAGAAATGAGATATGAGATTTCATTTTGCATATGAAGTAGCGTCTGTTTTACATGCTACATCCAATTTTTTATATATTTTAATTGACTCCATGTAAAATGTCAAGTTTGTATTATACAATTAAAAGGCGACGCTACTAAAGGCACAATGCCTTTATTATCGCAAATAAAAAATCGCGGGCCATATATAACACCATCAAAGGATGTAATGGCTATTTGCAAAGTTTGCGAACAGATTATCAGAAAATATCAATCGGAAATAAGTGAACCTTCAATTAAACAATTTTTAATAAATAAAATATTTAACAACATAGGGATGCAATTTGACAATAAAATCATGAATGAACACATTTTGGATAATCATCGATCGCAACTTTGCAAATACGTTATTGAATTATATTTAAATACTCGGTTACATTATGAAGCCAAAAAAATGTCCGAGAAGGATCATTTTATAAGACAAAAATATACAAAACTCGTATTATTTAAACACCAATAAGTTTAATAATGTATAATTTGGTATACTGGTATGTGTAAATAATAAATTATTTATTGTTAAATATTCTTTTTTTTATCTTAGTTTTTTATTTCCTTATATCCTTTAATCAATTCCCCATTTTTTCTAAAATGCCTGTTTCAAATATGTTGTTCATTTGAATGAAGCTGCTTATAAGAAGTAGAATATGCAAACTTCATTTTAAAAAAATGAAATAAAATCTTTTTTCATTAACAAAGAAAAAAAACATTTCTATTTGTAAATTGTTTAAAATGCATTTCAGAGCTCATGAATGCTACATTTTTTATACAGTAAACTTTAAAATTATTAAATAAAGATATTTAAAATCCAATAGCTTGTATACTATTTATAATTATCATTATCACATTTTAATTGTATTTAGTGTATAATAATTGTCATTAAAATATAGACAGGAAAAAAATATTTTTTAAATTAATAATCATGAATATTTATTTATCATCATCACATTTATATATGTATAATTAAAAAATAGGAGAGCAATGTTAACTATTGTGGCGATGTACAAAAGTGATTAGTATGTAGTTTGTAAAATCTAATACAAAAATAATAATTTAAAGGAACAATAATTGACTTAATTATTATTTTTCGCATTTATTACATGTTATTTTATTACTGTGGATGTTGGGTCAAACTCAAGGAGTTGGGGCAGCTTGGGGAAAAGACTTTAAAATTTTAATTCTTCAAAAACTTTCAATTGTAATTTTTATAAAACAATTTAATTTATACTGGTATTTAAAAATATCATTTATAGTCATCGAATTGAATTAGAATTATTGAACAATAAAAATTAATTTGTTCTTACAACTTTAGATTATTTTATTTATTATAAATTTATTTACAAAGAAATAATGTATAGAAATACCTTTGAAATTAGATATTAAATTATTATATGTAAATGATTTAATTATTATACATGTTTAAACAATTATTAATTGAAGTTATTCTACTAATAATAATAATAATAGAGAAAAGAAAAGAATGAAGAGATTCGAATACTCGAGACTCACTACCGGAGTCGGGAGCTTTACCGCTGAGCTACGAAGCATACAGGAACTTATTTACTATAACTCAATTTTAAGTTGTGAAAGGGAGGTGGCTTGCCCTTTTCCAATTGCCAATTCTCCCTCTACGGTAGTGACGCTTGCGCACAACAGTTCAAATGAAAAGAAAGAGACAGACATATTCATTTTCTGTCTCACTTCATAGGCCACGCGCCCACTTACGGGAACTAGCAATATAGGAGTATTAGATATATGCGGATTGAGCATTTTTTCAATATGGATGACTGAGGTCATCTGCGAGCATAATGCTGTCACCTATCGGAATTTTTTCAAACTAATTTTCCGGAGAATATCATCTGGAATACAAGATTTCTAATTATTTCTAAATTATTCAATTTTATACTATGAATTGATTTTTTTGACATTCAGAGAGGTGGCAAGGACTGACGCAAACACGAATTTTGGGTGAAAAACGTATAAAAATGAAATAATTAGTGATTTTTCATCTGAATGATGTGGCCGCCATCTTGAAATTTAAGCGCGGCAAGTCAATTCATAATTTTTTCATTATTCTTTCTAATTTTTTTAATAAAAATATTCACTATATACAAAAAATTGTTGTTTACGTCAGTCCGGCATTAATTCCTCTGTAATTTGGTACCTAATTTTATAGAAATAATTGTAAATTGGCGAAGAAATTAGAAATTCCCCGATCCCATGTATTTGGATAGGGGGAATCAGTCGCCTTTCTGACTTCAGCCCAGCCTTAATCTAATAAGATTTATTAATTACAAAAATTTTTATGTAAAATTTACCATTATTATCTTCGTCTACAAGCATATGCATGTGTAAGTCGGAAATGCACTCTCGTGGAAGTATGTGTTTTTCAAAAAACAAATCATCTAAAAACTCGTCTGCTATGGCTACTAATCTTTCTAACAATTGAAGATCTTCGATTTCTTCCGTGTTCCATAAATTCTATAACCGATTGAAAAGATCCTTATTAATTAAGTTATTAATCACAGGTGTTACAGTAATCCGCACATTATCATTGAGTTTTTTAAGGTCTTCATATAAATCCGCCATAATAAGAAGTAATTGACCTATAATGAAGTTATATGAATGAATATAATTTCTTCAAAAAAAAGAATGACTATTTGTTAAATTATACAATATACTTACTTATCTAATAATTAATATAAAAATAAAGATAATCTAGGATAATAAATGTAATGAAGGATTCATGCATACAATTTCATTAAAATGCGTACATACTTAGATTTGAATTTAAAAAATTTTTTTATTGTAGTTAATCTAATAAATTTCTTTATTACCGACCGCTGCACATGAATTTATTTTTCGGATTAGTGACCAAGAAGGGTTTTGACTATTCGGAATAATGTCCAATCGGCTTAATGTCGTTTCTATAATTAAATAAATTAATAAATAATTTTATAAATTTCTAAATAATTTTATAAATTTGACCATTCGGGTTTACATTTTATTCGGAATTTTATCGCATCGGTTTAGCGCCATTGAGGTTCATGACGATTTGGAATTTAGCGTTTCGGTCAAATGACTCATTCGCTAGATGCGCCGTAGGACAAACTCCTGTACCCCGATTCCAACGGGGGTCTTCCCATCCTCGACCACCTCCTCTTCCTCCTCCAACTCTATTTCCTCCTCGTCCACTTCCTTGGGCATCAACCCTTCCCCTCATGACTGGAGGTCCTCCTGCATTCTTTTGCCCCTTACCATGTCTTTTCTCTTTGGGGGTGTGGTGAGCACCCCCATTCTTCCCTCTTTCTGTAAATGATAATAATAATAATGATAAAAAATCAAAATATGACTAAATATAAATAAATAAATCAACAAATGAATAAATGAAAGAATAAGAAAAAATAAAAAAAAACAAATAAACAATAAATAAATTAATAAATATATTTAAAAAAAATAGATAAATTAACAAATAAATATATGGATAAAAAAACAATAAATATTTAAAAAAATCAAGAAATGAATTAATTAATTGATAAATAAATGAACATATAAATACAGAAAAAACTAGATAGAATTAATCAATAAATAAAAAAAAATAATAAAGAAATAACTAAATAAAGATGTAAATAAAAAAAACAAAAAAAAGTATGTTTTCATTTATGTCATACGGTGGGTAACATTTTTTTAGTAAAAGAAAAAATTATGCGTCACAAATACTCATATACATTATCCGCATCATATACTCATCCGGATATACTAGAGATGTGAATCGGTAATTGATGGGTAAATTTACCGTAAATTACCGGTAAAAAACGCGTCAATGACCAAGCCTGTTTTACCATACCGGTCAGAAAAATGCTGATCTCTGATTGGTTAATACATGTCCAATCACAGTTTAGAATTCCCAACGGCATACAACTGTTTATTTGTTCTATCAGGTATATATTTTCATTTTTATTTGTTAAAATACAATCGATAGTTTTTGTGATAAAATGTCAAAAAAAGATGAAGATTCTCTACAAGAACTACTTGCAGAAGCGATTTATGCATCTGGTACACCATTATGTATAACAGAAAATCCATATTGGCTAAAATTTTTTAACGCATTACGGCCTTCATTTAATTTGCCATCAAGAAATCAAATATCAAATAATCTTTTAGATTCAGTATTCGTTAGAACACAAAATATGGTTAATGAAAAAATTGAATCTGCTACTACTGTTGGAGTGCAATGTGACGCATGGTCTAATATTCGCAAAGAAGGAATCATCAATTTTATTGTAACAACCCCAGCGCCAGTTTTTTTCAAAACATTTCCAACTGGAACCGAATCACAAACTGCCTTATATATTTCTGAAAAAATAGGAAGTGTTATTGATGCTTTGGGAATTAAAAAAGTTATCGGAATTTGTACAGATAATTGTGCTGCAATGAAAAGTGCTTGGACTTTGATAGATCAAAAGTATAATGTCGACAAATTGTATTGTTATGGTTGTGCTGCTCACATTCTTAACCTACTCATGAAAGATATTGGTAGTCAAGCAACTGTTGAAACTTTGGTGACAAGTGCAACAGCTATTGTAAAAGGAATAAAAGAAGTACAAATAATGTCAGCGATTTTCAAAGAAATTCAATCTCAAGATGAACGTAGAGTATTTATTACCTTAAAATTACCAGCTAAGACAAGATTTGGATCTACTATAATTATGATTGACAGTCTTTGTGTTAATAAGTTAAGCGAGCAAGTATAATCACTTCAGCATGTCAATGGTGGCAAAGTATTTGCCAAAAATCTTCGTTGAGCAAAATAGCTGTGGCTATATTGACTTTACCTGCAACATCAGCTGCAACCGAGCGTTCCTTTAGTACACAAGGATGGATTCATTCATCTAAAAGAAATAAGTTAAGTATCGATAGAGCTGGAAAAATAACATACATTGCAAGAAATTTAAAATTACTTAATCCTTCACCAAAAAATACAGAAGAAGAATGTGAAGAAGATGAGGAAAGTAATAAAGGAGAGGATGAAATAAGTGAAATTTGTGCTGAGCATGAAGAAGTTGAATTTTTAGAAGAAGAATTTACTCAAGACTAATTAGTGATGTTGATGGAATTGAATCAGTATTAGACTTGTTATTTCCTAATGAAATATGTCAATTATTATGTGATATTACTAGTTGATAGAAACTATAGATTATATGGTTTTATTTTTTCATAAATAATTTACATAAAAGTTAAAAAAGTCAAATTCTTTATAATATGTAATAACGAAGGATTATCTATTTTATAAAAAAAAATGTACCAAAAACTTAACTAAATAAACGCTTATAATAATTTTCAATATATTTATTATTTCTGTCCTAACAGTCAAAAATGTAAAATATTTTTTTTATTACAAATTACAAAATTTTTTTTTCATCTTATAATAATTAATTAGTTTTAAATTAACAAGTGCAAAAAGCAAAATTAACTTAAGCAAATTGGCAAGCAAGTTCGAAAGCAAGCCATTTCCTCGGTAAAAAGCTCATCATATTCATCTATATAGATGCGAATGACCGGTAATTTACGCTGACCGACGGCTTGACGGTAAATTTTACATTCAGAATTTTTTGACGTCAGAATACCGTCAGATACCGGTAATTTTACGTGGTAATTACCGAATTTTCTATTACCGGTAAATTCACATCTCTAGCATATACGCATGGATCCCTATTTTTATTGTTTATAACAATTTAAAACTTTTTATTTAAATATTACCATGATCAATAATCATTTGTTAGTAACAATGTTCAATTGTTATGGACACAATTCCATATTATTAACAATCATTATTGACTATTATGGCGTCTTTAATGCTGTTTACTCAATCCTGACACGAGTTTAAAATTCTTTCGTTGCTGATTGTGTTTTTCAAAATGTTTCTTTTCGATAAAATTTTGTCATCATATTTTCATACAAGTATTCTAATAATTTAATATTCATATTTTTTAAAAGATTTTGAAATTTTGTCTAAAAAATGGTATAATTTATAAATTGCCAAATTAAAACCGACACGGTAGCCTCGTGGGTCAGCGTCTGCCTGACGCGCCATGGGTCGCGGGTTCGAATCCCGGTTGGGACAAAGTCATATTTATATGACATTTCCTTGGGCTGCCGCGAGCGGGAGGCCTCTCCAGAGAGGCCGATTGTATCGACACAGATTTTCTTCTGCAGTTTCCCTGTGTCCTCGTGCAAATGCGATACAATGGATTAGAGAGCGTAAGTCGGCTGCAGACGCAACCCGGCATACTATGTGTGTAATAGTGTGTCGGGCAGGTAGGGAAGTAAAGGAGAGGAGGAAAAGTATTGGTGTGGGAATGAGGTAGTGTGGTGGTGAGAGGGAGACTTGAGGTGAGAAATGGCGAGCAATGAAATAGTGAAGAGGGAGAAAGGAGGAAGACATAGAGAGTAAAAAAATATAAAACTTGCAAGGTGGAAATATTGTAAAACGCCAAGCAAAACTTGGCCATATAATTTAAAATAAATGATTTACTTCTACTATAAATTGCAAAATTCAGGTCGTTTTTCATTTTTGCTAGTTTTTTGGTTCTGCAAAAAAAATGGCTGGACCGATTTTGCTGAAAATCTAATCAGTTCTAAGTTACATAATTACGCGTTGAATGCAATTGGTCCCACATCGATATTATTTTTTGTTCTCGAGATAATCGACCAAGAAACTTCTGAACGAACGTACGCACATACGTACATACACACACAGACGTCCACTGGAAAACAATCGTATTCGACTCTTAGGACCTTAAAACGTGGAGATATGTCACAATTCGGGATTTGTAAAATCGGACCCATTACTATAACTTCCCACTGGGAAGTTAATAAACGTATCTCTTCACCTTCCATTCCTGCCAGAGCTCATAAAAGAAAACCAATTAATGATGATTTTCAATCTCAACAACCTAAAGCTAAAGCTCCTCTCTTTCATATTGACAATTTACGTCTAATATCTACTCAACCTTCAATCAATTCTTCTCAAGATAAGCAAGGATTATTTTACTTCAAATATAGTAATGACCATCAAGGTCCATTCATTCTACAAGTTCAAAATAATAAACCTTTACATCCTATGAGCTTGGGCCGTATTACACATCAAATTATCAAAAATCTTAATATCAGTGAAGAAGTTATAGATATTATTCTACTTTTCAATAAAATCCATATTCAATTGAAATCTCGTCAAGTAGCAAACTCTCTTATTAATCATAAAGAATTCCAAACAAGAGGACTTTTAGCTCTTGTTTCATATCATAACCTCTCAAGAGATGGAGTTGTTAAAAATATTCCCTTGGATATCACTATTGGTGAATTAAAAGAAGGCATTTCTTCTCCAATTAAAATTACTGATATTTAACGTTGTTCTAGACGTTTTAAAGATCCTGAAGGGAAGACTATTCTTGTTCTTTCTAAAATCATTCCCATTACTTTTAGTGGGAAAAAGTTACCTGAATACATCAACCTATTTTTTGCTAACATTAAGATCTTACCTTATGTTACTCAAGTTAAAAGATGTAACAAATGCCTTAGATTTAATCATTCTGCTGCAAAATGCAGAAGCCTTCCTACCTGTGAATTTTGTGGTCAACATGCACATGAAGATAATGAAACTTGTCTTCTAGCTGATTCTCCACGCTGTCTAAATTGTAAAGGATCTCACTCAGTAAGATCAAAAGATTGTCCGGAACTAGCTCTACAAAAAGAAATTCATCACCATGCTGCCTATAAAGGTACGTCACTTGCTGAATCTAAAGCTTTTTTACTAAAATTTAATAATCCCTCATCACCACCTTCCCGCTTCAGCTTTGCTAATTTTCCAAGTCTACCTGAAACTCATTTCTCATTTAATAAATATTCCTCTTCTACACCTGGATTATCCTTTACTAGCATCAAGAATCAACATGTTAGACATGAAGCTTAGGCATTTCCTCGGAAGAACTGGAATAATTCATCTCCTTCTTTCTACACCTACAGCCAAGCAGCTTCAACATCATTACATGTTCAACCAGAAGCTTCTACCTCAAATTTTAATCCTTAATCACATCCGATTTTCAACTCTCACTTCTACGCAAACTACTCTCAATCTTTGACTAAGAATAATAATTTGATTCCTGATACAGATCAAGCAATCTTCAACTCTTGTAATATCAACGCTTCTAGTACTGGTAACAAATCGACATCATTACCTAGTATAAAGGATATTATCCGTCTACTGCTTCAACTAATTTTAACAATTTCTCAAAATCAATCACTTCAACCTACAATGTTAACTCATATCATTAATGATGGTTCTCCCACGCTGTTAACAGGACCCAACTGCTCTACCTCTGCAGTGGATCTTTCTATCACATCACCGGATATTGCTTTACTTTGTTCCTGGACAATCCTAGATGATCCTATGGGCAGTGCTCATTTACCCACTTGTATCATGATTAGTATACCTAAAGTATTTCAGAGTTTTTTCTCTCATAAGTTAAATACTAAAAATATAGATTGGAACATTTTTTCTCTTCTAATTACTGAAAATTCAGAAAAAATCTTACAAGAATCTTCTATCTCTGACGGTTTATCTGCATACAATGAATTTACCAATTCAATTATTGATTCCATACTTTTATCTAAGAAAAACGATTTTAACTGTACCATTCGTAGGCTAAATCATAAGCCTCATAATAATAATAAGAAAACTCCTGCTCCTTGGTGGAACAACGATTGTCAAGAACAAGTTCATCTTCGTAAGTTATGCCACAAAGCATTTCGTAAAAATCCTACTCTTTTTAATTATATATTAATGAAAAAACAAGAAGCCATCACCAGAAGAACTCTTGAGAAAGCTAAAAAAGAAGGATAGAGATATTTATGTGAATCTTTTAATAAAGAGACTCCTATTACAGTAATTTGGAATGAAACTAAATCTTTTAAGAAAAGAGCCTTAACTTCTAACTCTAACTTATGTGATTTGGACTCTAATAGGATTAAAGATATGGAAAATTTTGCTAAAGAATTATGTACATCTCAATTGGATTGCAACTCTCATTCTTGTGAATTTCTATATAACGAATTTTTAATGAAAGAACTGGAAATGGCTCTAAAGTCGATCAAATTAAAATCCAGTCCAGGACTTGATCAAATTAATTCTAAGATCATCAAGAAACTTCCTTATGAAGCTCTTAATCTACTTCTACACTTCTACAGCTATTTCTTCCAACATCATACTTATCCAGAAGCATAAGGCTTCTTGCTTTTTGAAATTACTAGAAAAAATTGTTTTTCATCGGATATTTTAGTGGGCTGAAAATCATCATATACTTCCCATTAATCAATATGACTTCCGTAAACGTAAAAGTTGTGCCGATAATCTCGCCATCTTAATTTCTGAAATTCATCTTGGATTTGTTAAAGGAGAATATACTACTGTAATTTTTTCGATATTAAAGGTGCATTTGATCACGTTGATCCAACTTTACTTACGGCTGACCTTTGGAAGAAAAGTCTTCCTCTCAATTACTGTCATTTTTTTGCTAACCTGCTTCAAATCCGTAAACTTCAATTTGTTATTGGAGGAAATCTAAGTAAAGAATTCACAGTTAATCAAGGTACTGGACAGGGATTGGTTTCTAGCCCTTTTCTCTTTGATTTCTACATTGCTGAAGCTTCTTCTTACATAACGAGTGCCTGCAGACTTCTGATGTATGCTGATGATCTGGCCTTAGTGTGCCGTGGTAATAATCTTGATAATATCTATTATGAACTACAACTTTCGACTAATTGTCTTTGTGAATTTTTAAAATCAAGAAATCTTCATCTTTCTCCAGAAAAAACTCAACTAGTTATCTTTACAAATAAAGATACTGATTTTTCTGAATTTTCAATTAATATTGATAATTATTCAGTGATACCATCAGATAATGCCACCTTTTTAGGTGTCATTCTTGACTCTAAACTTAACTTTAAACTTCACTTCGAAAAACTTCGATCCAAGTCTTTAAAGATCACCTCTATATAGAGGCCTTATCAGAAGTCAATTTAAATATGGATCTCATATCCTTGCTTCATATAACTCCAGTCTCCTGGATCAATTGAACAAAATTCAATATAAGCTCTCAGAATAGCTAGGATATCGTCAATCTACACCTATCAATGTAATTCTTACAGAATCATGTAAACCTCCTCTCAACATAAGGTTTTTGGAACTAACTTCAAGATATATTTTGAAGACATTCTCTTTTTGTAATCACCCAGTACTGGATATATTACACCTGCTTTTTTTGAAAACTAACCGTAAATGCAGCTACCAACAATTTTTATTCTGTAAGCTACCCATTTTAAGTGCATACAGATCTCTCAAATCATATCAATCTGTTATTTTATCCTGCTCTTTTCCTTATGAATTATTAAATGTTCACTTGGACATTGATATTAACTTTGGCAGCAAATTCCAACTTCTTTCACTACCTGAAACAAATCAACACTTTTTTGAAAAAATTGATAATAATTTTCCAGACTTTAAGTTTTTCTTCACGGACGGTTCTAAATCTCTTGATGGATTACGTGTTGGATCTGCAGTCTTCTCATTTGATCCAACTATTGAATTGAAATTTAAAATTTCAATAAAATAGACTTATTAGCTAAACAGGCTATTTCTGATGGAACTTTAATAGACCTTCGCATCCCTTTTACTGATCTCTTCTGCATCACCAAAAAACTAGCTCAAAATCTTACTAAACGTTCTCTTAAAGCTCTTAGTCAAAGGAAAGGTGCTACATATTTTCAAGAGTATTATCAAGACCAAAACATTCCTTGGTTCATCAATCTAAATCTTTCAAGATTACAAATTTCTACTTTTTGCCGCGCTCAAAGCTTACATTACAATTTAAATTGGAGCCTTCATCGAAAAAATTTGATTAAATCTCCCCTCTGAATAATATATATTCCATTTGTTGTACAAAAAATCGTGAAATCACACCAAAAACAGCCCTAACGGACTTCACAAAAATACGCGCCAAGTATGAATAACGAAGACGATAATCATCGTTCATCAAGTGCGATCTCTATAAAACTTCTTTATGTGAACAACAACAAAAATGCATGAAATCATTGCAGCCAAGTATTTGAACATAAAGATTAATTATATTTAATAAAATAAAATAGAAATGTTTTTTAATTTTCGTTAAATTATTATGTAATTTTTTACATAAATCAAAGACAAACTCTTTATAATGAGATAAAAAAAAATTCAATACATGAAGAAAGTTGACAGCCTTATTACGTTTTAAAATTTTAAAAATAGAAAAAAAAATTGAATTAAAAACAAAATTTCTCCTTTTTTATAAAAATTTATTTAAACACAATTAACTTGGCGTGGCTCTTACAGCTGTAGATAAAACTATAATTGATTAGATGGTTCATATAATCGATAGCCACGCCAAGTTAATTGTGTTTAAATAAATTTTTATAAAAAAAGAGAAATTTTGTTTTTAATTCAATTTTTTTTAGAGATCGATAGAGATCGCACTTGATGAACGATGATTATCGTCTTCGTTATTCATACTTGGCGCGTATTTTTGTGAAGTCCGTTAGGGCTGTTTTTGGTGTGATTATAACATCTCTGTATACGGCTGTATGGAACTTACGAGTTTCGATGTCAATAAAGATTATTATTGCGGTATCAAGAGATTAGAGATATAACTTTCTGTTATCTTTTTACAAATCATAGTTAGGTTATTACGAGTTTCAAAAGATGGCATTCATTGGTAGGTTTATTGTGGCGTATTCAGTTCGAAATTACTAATAAACTTATGAATTATTTTATTCATTATTAATTGCCTATCATTAATATATTTTTACATATAAGTTTATAATGATAATAGAAATTGTAATTTCATTTAATCTATATTACTGAAATTTTGATGTTTGTCATAAACAATTATAAAAGTGTTTATACCGTAACCTCAATGTTTTATGATAAAAATAAGTTAATTCGACCACAAATTAATGGTTTACAATTCCACAATACTGAATATAATTACACATGCATGTTAAATAATATTTATACTAATTCAATTTATTATAAAAAATCGAAATCGGAATCTACATAATACATATGAATTCTTTTAACGGGAAATTATTTCTTTTATTGAAACTGAGTTCCTAACGATGTGACATAGAGTAAATCAAATTCTAATTATTTATAATAATACAATTTGTTTTAAACAACCAACAATGGGATATATGGAATAAATTCGAGTTTTTTCAATGGGAAATTATTTCTTCGACCGCATAGATCCCGTTTTCGATTATTAAAAACAAATTAAATTATTATTAACAAATAGAGTTTATTTTACTCTATTTCATAACATTGGTAACTTTCTTTCCGTTATTTTTTATTTTTAATAAATAACATAAAAGTTAGGTGTGGAAATGACTTTTTTTAAAATTCATTGTGCAAAATGATTGTTATTTTATTACGGTTAAATGGATGTGAGGTGATAAAAGGCATTTTTGACCTAATCTTGCCTAATTTATGGCCATATTTATACAGCGGTAGTAAAATAGCTGAGCCTTTTTCTCTCAAGGACTTGATATCTTCGGTGCTCCTCGACTCATTTCGACTTATTCCGTTTTATGTATTACGTGTCATCACTTTAACTTGAATAGTTTCACGGTTGACTCAGTTTCACCACAAACTCGGGCCTACGATTCCATACCAGTGTACTGATAAACATCATTGGTAGTAATTATTATCAATAAAACACCAGTAAAAGTATTCACTTAGTGATTATCAACATCAAAAAGTACATTCTACTTAACTAAAATGGTTGTTCAAATCAAAACACTGGTAATTGTCAATTTCATTATTGAATTTTTCATTTTTTTCTTTCCCTTTTCAAAAAAACATGGTCATTGAAATTATTGTAAAATATTAAAAATATTTTGCAATGTTATATATTCTTTTTGTTGAATAATTCCATTTATTGTTTACAATACTTCTATGTTTATTGAATATTATTTAACTAAAATTATTTACATAAAAAAAAATAAAGCCGGAAAATCAATGTTGACTTCAATTTTAACTCGGTCGATGGCGTGGTAACAGTGACGTGTTGAATAGCAAAATTATAAGAACGTCATCTGATTAAAATTAATTGTGACCTTCGAATTGATAATTATTACCTATAATTGGAATTGTTTTATAATAGATTATACACTAATCATTTTAATTTTAAAAATAAATTAGACTAATTAGATTGAGATTGAACTAAAAAAAAACTAATTTATTTTAAAATTTATATCAATATCAATCTTGAAAATAATAATCTCAATATTGATATCGTGTTTTCACTCTTATTGATTGTCAAGATTAAGATAATCATTAAGAAGAAGCAGAAATAAAAAATCATTTTGTATGTTTCAATAGTGGTTATAATCAAGAGAAAAAATCGTAAATTCCACTTGGTTACTTAATGGTTGATGTTGAATATTTTTTTGTAAAATTAAACAAAGATTTTTGTATGATCAATTATTAAATCATTAGTTAAAAATAGCAATTTTGTAATCTATGATGCCTATGATTATTAATAGTGCATACGACTCATCACTTATTAAACTAATTACAGGAAGAGTTTAAAGAAAAACTTGCTGAAGCTGGAGATAAACTTGTTGTCGTTGATTTCTATGCTACTTGGTGTGGTCCATGTAAAGTGATTTCTCCAAAATTTGAGGAATTTTCCAATGAATTCACTGATGTTATCTTCTACAAAGTAGACGTTGACGAAGGTGAAACAATTGCTACTGAGTACGAGATCGAAAGCATGCCGACATTTATTTTCTTTAAAAACCAGAAAAAAGTATGTATTTAAAAATTTTGCACTTACTACAAATATGTCTACAATAGGTATTAAATTTTATCAACTAATAATTAAACATAAATAATAAATTAGTTTATATTTCTGACTTTAAATTTGAAAATTTCAATGTTTATTCAGTGATTGTTTAAAAATGTGTGTTTATTTGTCAACTGCTATTTTTATCTAAGTTTAATGTTTATTGTAGACGAACTTTAAATATTTAACTATGATTCCAATTTTTTTCCTATTAATATTAATGTAATTTTTTTTACACAGATTGATTCAATGATTGGTGCTAGTATCGAGAAATTAAAGACATTGCTTAATAAACATCATTAATTATACCAATAATTATTGAAATAAACTTTAAAAAAATCTACAAAAATGCAACTATCAATTGTTAGATAAAATTCACTTTATTAGAACACCACAATTGCTGTTGTGTGATTACTCATACTTTTTTAGAGGCATTGAATAACATTGCGATGATAAATACAATTTTTTTGTAGAATTTTACATTTAAAACATTAGAAATTTTATTCAAACTTGTCAAAATTCTTTTTTAATCATTGTATTTTGGCCTTTAAAATATACACTTGGATATTATTAAACTAAATTAAAAAAAAAAAAAAAGTAATTGATCATTTTTTTAAAGAAAAAATAATTTCCTTATTTTAAAAAAATAATAATAAATTAAGTCAACTGATTAATCAGTATAGTATCTCGTTTATTTACACTTAATTGACTTATAAAATAATATTTAACTGATTAATCACACCTTCAAGGATGACGAATTCGAATTAAACATCGACAACTGTGGTTTAAAGTAAACACCAAAGAATCCAGTTCCTGTTCTACATGGCTGTCCAAGCATTAATCGACTCGAAGGTGATAATAAATCATCTCGTTTGCCTTGAAGTGTAGCACTTTTTAAGAAAGTCAAAGAGCTTTCAAAGCTCATTTGTTGCAACGGTGATGCTGAATCTTCCATACCTTTTCTACTTAATGGTTGAAATGTTCCATCAAATGTCATATAATCCGCTACTAAAGATAAATGTCTAGAATCTACAGTAATTCCATACATCTTAAACACATCCTTAACTTCCTTAACAATCACTCTATTGGCAGCTTCTATCCCGTAGGTTTGAGAAATACCGTAGATATCATTCGAATATAATTTCGTAAGATCTAGAATCTCATTGTATTTAAACATCTCAACAATATTTAAGCCATCAGTTTTTAAAACAGTATCTCCATCAGAATTTTGAAAAGTAAAAGCTCTTCTAATCGCTGGTGTCTCCCACAGCACTACTTTACTAGCAGCAGTTCTCAAGATAGTTGGTAAATCAATTTTAATCATCTTCAAAGGTAACCAAAATGTGAATTTACACCATCGAAATCGTTCAGCATCAAAATCATAATCAATTCCATAGGTATACATGTTAGTGACGTCATTTTTTCTTTGCTCTGCTGCCATTTTAGCTGCTACTGTTAACTTTGAAATAACTTCATCATCACTTAAATCATTTTCAATTTTTAGACTTATTTCAGTCTCGTCAATGTCATTTGATGGCTCTTCAGGTGCTTCTTCTTCTTCTGGGTCATCATACTCCTGGTTTTCTTGATGTCTTGATACTGATCTAGCAGCAGTAGCATCAGCATCTTCAGCTATTTCTTCTTCATCTGATGATTCATGCATTTCTCCAATGTCTGCTTTTACTTTATTATTTTTAAATTCATTGAAGTCAAAATCATTGCCACCAGCATCAAGCATAGAATTCTCTAGCTTATCATTCACTTTTCTTTCTTCTTCAACATATAATGATGTTCCTGACAACTTGGCAACCTTTTTGATCTCCTTAAACACCTCTTTGAAGAATAATAATTCTGTTTTTTCAATAACTTGCTTAGAAGTTACACAAAATTCATGCTTATAATACTTATGTGGTAAGAAGTTTATCAACAAAGTGTACTCTAGTTGTCTGTGGGGCATTTTTTCTAATTTCCTGTTAATTGTGATGCTCTGAAGCACATCAGAAAGCACACATCTAGTCAGCTTTAGTTTCAATTTGTTTGCTTGTTTAGGAAGGTTTGGAAGAGTTTTCTTGAATGGAATTTCCATGCTTGGAGTTTTTATATTTTTCGAGGCCATCATCAGAATTTCACGCAATCTTGGGATACCCAAGGTGACGTTCATTTCTCCACGACCAGCAAAGTGGAAAGTATTCAGTGTCATCTGAGTTGATGGTTCTCCAATTGATTGAGCAGCAAGTAAGCCAACTGGTTCACCAGGTGGACATAATGTTTTCATGACTTTCAAGCTCATTAAGTCTCTCAATTCTTTGATTTTAATCTTCGTTGTTACACACCCGTCTCTTTTTATCATGTATTCGTCAACTAAGTCTTCCAATTTTTCTGTCAACACTCCAAATTCTAGGTCCAGTCGGTGTTTAGCAATTATTGGATCTGGAAATCGAATAATTCCACTTTTGTATGTCGCTTTAGTTTCTTTATCAGCACGGATCCATTTTCTCATTAATGACAACACAGCTTTACTTCTGCCACTATTGGGATCGATGATTTTAGATTTATTAGAGTTATTGTTGAAGTTATCTTGAGAAAATTTAGCAAAAGGGCTAGTCCTCGTCTTGGGAAAAAGATTTCCATACGTTTCTTTAAATTTTTTTAAAGCTTTGACATTTTTTAATATTTCTTTTCGCGATTTTTCATCATCAGATTTTAATCTGTCTAACAATGTCTTATCAATAATAGCATTTTTATTCTCCACCAAGAAGTCCATCTGCTCTTTCTTCAAAAATCGAGATTTAGGAATGTCCAGGCCATCTTCACCGTAATAAACTTGAATCAAAGAACCGTCAGAATCTCTGACAGTTAAGTCATAATTAATAGTAAGACCTTCTAGATGTTTGATTAAACATCTTTGAAGGTATCCAGACCTACTAGTCTTCACAGCAGTATCAATAAGACCTTCTCTTCCAGCCATACAGTGGAAGAAAAATTCCTGAGGTTGGATTCCAGTCATAAATCGTCCATCGATAAAACCACCAGCTCGTGGAGATGAATCATAAGGTGGGAAACTCGGCAAGCTTCGTCCGCTGATCATCAAAGGTGGTCTTTTGCCTTCCAATTCAATTTGACCTAACAAACAAGAAATTTGCATGGTATTTACAGTTGATCCTTTGGCTCCAGACTGGACCATCAGCTGAAGATTATTTTTAGGGAACTTTTTAAGCAACCCAGCTGGTAGACAGGTTTTGTTGATATCATTAGTGAATGGATCCAATGCATTTTTATACTTTCGATCAATGAGCGCTCGGAATTTTTTATTTTTCCAAGTTTCTTCTTCCATTTTTCTCAATACTACTTCTCTAGGAGTATCTTCAGGCAGCTCTACAGCGCTTTTTTGAACATCATCTCCAATTTTTCTGCAATTCTGAATGATTTCATCCCTCTTCGCATCATTTTTCTCAACTATTAAAATATCTTCAATACCTAGAGTGAACCCTGATCGCTGGAGAAAGGCTTGGAAGAGTTTTCCAAAAGATGATAGCATTTTAGTTGAACAAGCACCACCGTATAATTCAAAAACACAGTGAATAAGTCCATATGATGTAGCACCGTAATGGGTTTTGTCTAAAACTCCACATAAAAGCTCACCATGTCTGATAATAACTTCAGCCTCGGACATGGTTTTAGGATCCGTAAATTCTTCTCCACATTTCCATCTTCTAGGCTTTTGAGTCACCCAATTTTTATCACTAATTTTTGCTCCAGCGGTTAAATTTATTCTCGCCCGATTCTTAGGAGTGGTGTTGATAATCACAGTGGATATCACCTGCTTCCCAGACCATAATTGAATCGGTTTAATAATTGTGGGAGGTAAAAGAATGATATCTCCAAAATGATCATTAAGTCCACTATAAACCAACTGCATGTAATCAGCTTTGGAGAAGAATCTTCCTCTGCAAGTCAATTTAACACCTGAAATCATGTGATCTTGGATCAAACCACCCAAAGGTGTTCCATCCTTTGGCACTAGGTACTGATTAGATACATTAGCTATGTTGTAACCCTCACTCCTAGCCAATTCATTCTGTGGAAAGTGAGCATTCATTTCGTCACCATCGAAATCAGCATTGTAAGCTTTACAATTTGAATAATGAAGCCTCAAAGTTTTTTCTCCTTTTAAAATTCTAGCTTTGTGCGCCATAATACTAGGCTTGTGGAGCGTAGGTTGACGATTAAGTAGCAGAATGTCACCATTTTGCAGATGTCTATGTACAATCTTGACTGCATGGAATGAATTATCTGTTGAAAAAGATTATTTAGTATAATTTTAGAAATACTTCAATTATATTTATTGCAACATATCCTAACTAAATATCTTTATAAAAATATTAAATGTAGCATTTAGATATTGTAAAGGATATTAATGAATCCTTTGTTCTTTATTTGATATCCATACTTTATAGTTCTTTATTAAAGATTACTCAGATTAATTTTGTTACTGTTAAACATTTTTTTAAAATTTTCAGCCACAAATAATATTATTCATAGATTTATTTGAAGATTCTAATTAAATGTTTTAATATTACCTTTCCCAGTTGTAAGAAGCCTTTTGGCGATAGCTTCTCTGTTCACTACATCAGTAGGGTCTATTCTCCTAATACGACCATCATCTCCTTCAATCATCACAGCTCCTGGATGCTTATCAGGTCCATTAATGATCATTTGTCTAAGCTCGGTAACATTCCAAGGTGTCACAGCAACCGGGTAAGTTAATTTCAACGCGAAAGCTTCTGGAATGCCGATTTCATCGATATTTAAATTAGGATCAGGAGTGATAACAGATCTAGCAGCGTAATTGACTCGTTTCCCCATCATATGCATCCTTATAATTCCTTCTTTCTTCTCAATGATTTGTTTTAAGCCTTGACAGTTGGCAGACTCTGATGTCTTACTCATTTCCCGGTCCATAAGATGGTCGGCATTAGCTTGGAGAGCCTGCCAAGCTAGATGAAGCTTCTCCAAGGAATTAGTACCACGGATTTGTTGATATACTTGGATACTTTCTTCTGAAAGCTGGCTCGTGTCTCCATCTTTGATGGCTTGAATAATAGTTCTAATGATAAAGCAATCTTGAATAATGGCTTTGTAGATTTGGGATTGAGGATGTTCGATTATTTGACCATTTAAAACGTTTGTTGGTCTCACTATGGGTGGTAAGACTGGTACGACGTCAAAGAAAAATACATCTGTTGGAAATTGCAGGTCTAGTGATGATAAACAAGGAATTATCACCTTCAGAATTTCCTTATCATGCTTCCAAAGAGATCTCATGTACTCTCTTGATTGATCTGGCATCAATAAAACTGTTTCAGTCTTGGCAGCTGCCGATAGATTGTTTGAAACCAATACTTTTGATATCATGATTTTATTTTTCAACACTGTAACTTTGAGAATTGTGTTGTGGCAATTGATGCAAAATTTTCCAGCTGAGCATTGCTTGAGAACATTTTCTACGTAAATATGCCACTGGATGTTGATGTTTTTGGTGCTCTGAGCTAAACTAGACATTATTTTTTTCTCTCCAACTTCAGATTTCGTTCTTCTCAGTGTTTCTATATGATTTTCGATTATCTCGCGAATATATTCAACTTCAGCTTCGTTTAGATTTTGATTTTGGGATAATATTGAATTGACCTCGTGGTCTAGGGTTTCTAAGTCGCTGTAGAAACCTTCGTGGAGCATTCGTAGTTTGGCTGAGAGCAGTAGTTTGATATGGTCTGGGATCTGGAGTGTAAAACATTTCATGCAAGATAGTTTTATCAATGTACAAAGAGTTTTGTGAAATAAAGGATTGACGACTGGTACTGGGAGTTCGATGTGGCCAAAATGACCTGTACAGTGGTACACATTTTCTCCACAAGTTCCACAAGGATCTGATTGAGCATCTAAAGGTCCTAAAAATGACAATGATATTAATATAGATCATAAATAACCTATTATTACAACAAAGCTAGTAAGATGATGATGTTGATAATTGTTGCTAGTCTTACCTAGAGCAGGATCATAGAGTCCACCTTTCAAGGGATGTCCAAGAACATTGAATGATAAAGGAGTACATACTTGTACGACGCTTAATTTCCTGATGTCATCAACGGTAAAAACTGAGAATATTAAACTTTTAGGATCTAAATGTTTAGGTATGTTTTTGACCGGAATTTCAACAAATCTTACACTCATTGCTTATTTCTATTAGTTTGTCACTTTTGTTAATAATAAATTGTTAAACAATAATGAAAAAATTACTTTATTAATTATTTTTATAGTCAATAAACACTATTTATCACTCAACAGACTGACTTTACAAACCACGTGTTACTCTTCTCCGTGAAACATATGTTTTTAAAGCAGTTAACCTCGCTAATATATCTCAGGAAAATGGCGGGACACATGCTTCACTGTACAAATAATATACGTTTATAATTTCTTATAAGAAAATTTGTATATTTAATATTAAAACTCTTATTTATATTAATAATGTATTATTATTCTTGTTTAATTTAATAATTTTATTTAAAATTGCTTTGAGAAATTTTTAGTTTCAATTTAATTAATTCACACATGTATTTCACTTTCGAAAGTTTCTTGTCATGCGCAGAATCATTCCGTCGCAAACTGTTGATGATGTGCACAGAACAACTTCACGCAGGAGTTGTTTGGACAGAAATCATAGTGCGTATGACAAGCCATGTTTAAATACCCGAAAAATGCGAGTACTAATAAAATACTTTTTTCTCAAAAAATCTTAAGCAATGAAATTGTAAGAATTATTTAAAAAATATGAAATATATGATTTATAATTATCGAAAAATATCCACTAGATTTCTTTCATAGCCTTAAATAAGTATATAGCTCCAAAATAATATCTGCAAACATCGACTCTTCAAGGTACATTCAGGTCCTAGGCTTCAAGATGACTAACAATAAGTTCATGTAAGTGAATTCTTTAGTACAAATAGTTTTTTACCAATCCTAAAATAACCCAAATAATGATTAATATAAGTCCATTAAAACGTAATAACTTTATTCTTTTCTCACCATCATTCTTGATATGATGTCGTTGATTCTCAGCAAGAGCATTATTGTCTTCAATTAACAATCTTTCTAGTAAACTCTAAGAATGTTCCTATCATCAATCGAAAATATTTTTAACATATTTTTTGAGTAAATAATTCTTTCCATCTGAAGTTTCACACGCAAACAGGTGAAATATAATCCAAACTTTCAAACTACTGCGCGTACCATGCAAGGATGTCGAAAATTTAAAAAATAAGGATTTCTTGCAGGCTTATTAAGTTTTTCCATAATTAAGAGTATATTTAAAATGTTGTTAAGTCGATCAATTATCTTCATTTGTTTATCATTAGGTAAATTATCTAAGTGTGACTCAAGATCCAAACATGTTTGATAAATAATAGAGGAATTTGGACCATAAGGATGATTGTGATATGACAGTGCACCTGTGATGGTGAGCCGATTATAATCTGTTACCTCCAGCTTGACGTACGCTTCACACCCACTGTGTTTTATATCTGAAACAATCTCAATCTTATGTGATATTGCGTTGCTCTAAATTATTAATTGTGAATTAAATCAATGATAACATTAAAAAATGTTACTTACTCACACTCGAATTTACAACTTGTGTATATCAGCTCATTGTTACATCGGCATAGTGGGTTAGGGTCATCACAGATAAGTTAAAATTCAGTTATTTTAAAATTAACTAAATTTTTCTCTGAGTATTGTATTAAATCAACATCAAATGAAAAAAATAACGCGTATTCCAGTTCAATGATGAACGGACAGCAGGTAAAAATTATCGTCCAACAGCTTTCATTGGGATGGTTCTTCTATATATTATCTCTTTTCTCTGGCGCTGGGTAGAATTTTTCCCTCTATAATTTCACGTTCTGCGCATGCGAAAAGACTGGTCACGCTCTCTGTGGTGCTATTTAAACTAAAAAGGAAGCGGTTATTATTTAAATGGAAAAAATATTTTTAAATAAGAAAGAATTCTTCTTAGAGGAAATATTTTACGAAGTGACAACATGTAATTAACAATAGTATATTATCAACTAAGGAAACAAAGCATGGCATTTTTTACTTTGGTATATTGTAGCTGCTTGAGTTGTAGGCCTTTTTTCAAACAAGAATAGCGTTAGTGTCGCTAAAAAAAAATACGTCGCTTTTTTTCTAGAAACAGAAAAAAAAAAATCTAACATTCGACGGGAATATGAGAAAAAAATAGTTTATCTAATAAAGGATATTTAACTCTAAAATGATTAATCAATTCTGAGTATTTCTATATTGTTTGAACATCGTTCCAGCTTTAAGATTTATTTTTTCATTAAAAGAATAGCCGCTTGATTTATAAAAAATCGTTTCCATATGATTGTCCATAATCTTGCAAACATACTTTGCCGTAGCTTCATTTAGATTTTGATCTTGAAATAATATTAAATCGTCTTCATGATCTAGAGTTTCGTTTTGCCTTTTAAAAATTTTTTCTTATGCACATAATTATTCCACCATAAGCGGTAATACGAGCAGATGTCGTCTGCGTATGGATAATTGGGCACACGATTCAAGCTGTTTTTAAACACCGAAATAATTTGATGGCTAATAAATAATTGTGAAAAGCAAAATTAAAAAAAAAATTGTACCTGTTACATGACAAGTAGATAGTCGATTATTGATAACTAATAAAAAATATCTATTGTATTTTCTTGATTAACGTAGAAGGGAATAATATTTTCAAACAACTCCAAAGTACATTCAGGTTTTAAGCTTCAAAACGACCAACTCAAGTTGGTAGATGATCGGATACAAAAATTTTTCGGCAATCCTAAAATAAACCGCAGAATAATTAAAGTTAAGTAACCTCATGCTTTTCTTACCATCATTCCTAGTGTTATTTCCTATCTGAAAGGTTTTCATCATTAATCAACAATTTTTCAAACAAACGCCTCAATTCAGAGATTTTTTATAACTGACGTTCCACAGGCAAACGACTAATGGAGTGTCCAAAGTTGGAAACCTCCTGCATTGTCATACAAGGATGTCGATTGAAAAAGTAGTTTGGATCACTTTTAAATGTTAAGAAAATGTTATCTTTTTCTGACCATTTTCAAAGTGTAGTTAAATGAGCGAATCTTTTTTACTTGTTGATTATCAAATAAATTATCCAAGTGGAACTCGAGATCGGAACATGTTTGCTGAATTACGCCGGCATTTGGACCATAAGGATGCTTATACTTTAATTCTGAATCAATGATACCGAGAAGATTTTGATTAACGGCCTTTAGTTTGATTCAAGACATACTCAGATTCTTTTAATGAAGTGTAATACGTCAAAAAGTAACTATTGCTCCATTTTTCTGGAAAACTGTTTTGTTTGTATATAGAAGAAGCCAGAGAAGTTTAACGTAAATGAGTGCATAAGGACAGGTATTTTACATCTGTTAGCCAAAACTACGTACGGAATTTTAACCCGGGGTTGGATTTCTATACCAGTTCCTCTTCTCTGGAGGAAGCGTTAGATGGAATTTTTTCCCTCCATAATTTTAATTTCTGCGCATGCGCAAGAAGTAGTCACGCTCTCTGCGATATTTTTCGTACTAATTAAGTTTTTAAATTTCTAAAACATTTTCTCCGAAAAAGATTATCATGTCTTTTTTAAAAACATGTTTTCAACTTGAATAATTACCTCTTGCTCTTCAGTATAATCACCACCGCGGAGGGCGCGACTTATCTGCATATGCGCAGAACGTAACATTATAGAGGGAAAATTCTACTCAACACTTTTTCTACATACAAACGAAACAGTTTTCTAGCAGAATGGATAGGCGGTTGATTTGTAACCAAAAGTTCGAGTCATTTATTAAATTTGAAGTTACTTTAATACAATACTCAAAGGATAATTCAGTGAATTTCAAGAAAACTAAATGTCGACGAATCTGTGATGATCGCAAAGCACAACGCGAATTCCGCCCGAAGTTGATGTACATCAGTAGTGAATATGAGTGCGAGTAAGTATCATTTTTCAATGTTATCATTGACTTAATTCACAATTAATAATTTAGAGCAACGCAATATCACATAAGTCGAGATTGTTTCAGATATAAACACAGTGGGTGTAAAGCGTACATCAAGCTAGAGGCAACAGATTATGATCGTCTCACCATCACAACGTCAGAACTGAAGCATAATCATCCTTATGGTCCAAATGCTGCGATTATTCATCAAACATGTGTGGACCTCGAATTATTTTTAATAAATTTACCTGAAAGCAAACGAATAAAAACCATTTATCTACTAAGCGAAGTCTTAAATGAGTGGAGGCGTAGAGACCACCGAAAAATGATTGTAACTGACGCCTTTTCCTTTACTTATCGAGATTCTTGCATGATAAGTGGAGTAGTTTTGAATTTTGGATCATATATAACTAATTTGCGTGCAGATCGTCAGCTTCAAAGGATTAGTGATTTTAAAAAATTTCTCGAAAGATTTTCCATTGGAGACAAGAGTAGTCTTACTGAGAATCAACAACATACCAGGAACGATGGTAACTAATGAATAAAATTATTGTATTTTAATAAATTTAATAAGTATTTAAGTTATTTTAGGCTAAGAAAGAGAGAGAGAGAGATACTTTTTGTACAGGAGTAATTACCGACTTTAATTTATTGCTGTTCATCTTGAAGCCTGAAACCAAAATGCACTCTAGAAAACAGTAGTAACTATATTAGACCTTAAAGACTAATAGACAGTTTATTGGAGCTATTACAGTGATGTTATATGCCTTTTTATGTTATTGAAGAAAATACAACAGATCTTTTTTACTGATCACCAATAATGGATTTTCTATTTATAATAAAACATTTCTAATTTTATTATGCTGATATTTCCCTTTTCATGATTGTTCATCAGCTATTACATTGTACGGGTATTTAAAAATGGCTTATATCATGCGTACAATGATTGATGCGTAAATCATCTGCGCATGACAATTAAACTTTTAAAAAGCCAAAGCGGAACAAGATGATCAAAAATCATATAGAAACACTGAGAAGAACGAGATCTGAAGTTGGAGAGAAAAAAATAATGTCTAGTTTAGCTCAGAGCACCAAAAACATCAACATCCAGTGGCATATTTACGTAGAAAATGTTCTCAAGCAATGCTCAGCTGGAAAATTTTGCATCAATTGCCACAACACAATTCTCAAAGTTACAGTGTTGAAAAATAAAATCATGATATCAAAAGTATTGGTTTCAAACAATCTATCGGCAGCTGCCAAGACTGAAACAGTTTTATTGATGCCAGATCAATCAAGAGAGTACATGAGATCTCTTTGGAAGCATGATAAGGAAATTCTGAAGGTGATAATTCCTTGTTTATCATCACTAGACCTGCAATTTCCAACAGATGTATTTTTCTTTGACGTCGTACCAGTCTTACCACCCATAGTGAGACCAACAAACGTTTTAAATGGTCAAATAATCGAACATCCTCAATCCCAAATCTACAAAGCCATTATTCAAGATTGCTTTATCATTAGAACTATTATTCAAGCCATCAAAGATGGAGACACGAGCCAGCTTTCAGAAGAAAGTATCCAAGTATATCAACAAATCCGTGATGCTAAATCTTTCGGAAATCATATTATTCGTATAAAAGTAAAACATGAAAATATTTTTTTTTTTTTACATATCAATAAGTTCGTTTGGTGTAATAGAATTATGTAAATCAAAGTTGTTCAGGATATTTCTAAACATTCAGAAGTCTCAAATACTCCAACAAGTAATGACAGACTTATGGATATTGTTCTTTAACTTAAATTAATCAGTACATTTTTTCACTATTTCAGAACATAATTACTAATTTTTTCTTCTCTCTTCTGATCTTAATTTATAAATTATTAGGCTAGATGTCTGTGTATACTAGATCTTGCTTCCACTTTTCTAATTTGTCTTCCAAGTACCTTAAATATTTCTGTCGTTCTTCTGACGTTGCATTTTGTATTACATTCATCAATTCTTCTACCAACTTATAGAAATCATCCAGTTCAAGTGAATGATGTGCAGTGACTTTAGATCTGTAACAATTCAATGTTTTTTTTTAAATTCGAAGCAAATACCTTGTATGAAGTTAAATTTAGGTTAAGATTTTATAACAAATGTCAAACGGAAATTCTTCGAAAATTTATTTAAACTCTATGTTTTTTGTCATGTTACAAGAATAACATAAAGGCATAACACTTACTGTTCTGTCATTTTTATCAACCTTTATTGAAACGACTACAGAAAAAAGTTAAATAAAGAGAAACTCTCTATTTTCTAATAAATAAAGTAGAATTTTTCTTTAAATAATTTGTTTTTTTTTTTACACATCTATGCGTTGTGTGCAAGCTTAAGAAAAAACAGATCGCGTCATCTGACATTGTTTACTCTGAAACATGGAGATATGGGCGTTTTCCATTTAAAGAAAACCTCTCTGTGTTTGACACTACACTGACAGAAACAATGTGATAGCTAGAAAGTATACTAGCGGCAAACACAGAATATACTCAATTTGAGTATAATTATTATTTAATGCAAGTACATTTTATATCAAAATGAAGTTTAAAGTGTACTGTACAATCATAATAACATTAACTTGACTGTGGGGGTGGGGGTGTGGGGGGGAGAAAGATGAAAAAGAAGGGTGGGGGGGTGGTAAAAAGGGGGGAAAAAGGAAGGGGGGGGGGAGGGGGGGAGGGGTCGGGTGGGGGGGGGTGGATGGGGGGGGAGGGGGGGGAGGGGGGGGTGGGGGGAGAGTGGGGGGTGTGGGGGGGGGGGGAAGGGGGAAAAAGGGGGGGGGAAGAAAAAGGGGGGGGAAGGGGAGGGGGGAAGGGGGGAAAGGGGGGGTGGGGGGGGGGGGGGGGGGGGAGGGGGGCGGGGGGGGGGGGGGGGGAAGGGGGGGGTGAAAAGGGGGGTTGGGGGGGGGGGGGGGGGGGGGGGAAGTGGGTGGAGGGGGAAAAGAAGGAGGGGGGGGGAGGGAAGGTGGGGGGGGGGATGGGGTGGGGGGTGTTGGTGGGGGTGGGGTGGGCGGGTGGGTTGGGGGGGGGCGGGGTGGGGGGGGGGTGGGGGGTGGGGGGGGGGTGGTGGGGGGGGGGGGGGGGGTGGTGGGGGGGGCGGGGGGGTGGGGGGGGGGGGGGGGGGGCTGGAGGGGGGGGAGGTGGCGGAAAAATGGGAGGAAGGGGGGGTGGGGGGGTGGGGGGGGGGGTGCGGATAAGGGAATGAAAAGGGGGGGGGGGGGGGGGCAGGGGAAGAAGGGGGGGGGGGGGGGAGGGGGGGAAATGGGGGGGGGGGGGAATAAAGGGGGGGTGGGGGAACATGGGAAAGGGGGGGGGGGGGGGGGGGTGGGGGGGGGGGGGGGGGGGGGGGGGCAAGGGCGGGGGGGCAGTGGGTTGGAAAGGGGGGGGGGGGGGGTAAAAAGGAAAGGGGAGGGGGTTGGGGGGCTGGGGGGTGGGTGGGGGGGGGTGGGGGGGGGTGGGGGGGGGGGGGCGGGGGGAGGGGGGGGGGGGGGGGGTGGGGGGGGGGGGGGGGGGGGGGGTGGGGGGGGGTGGGGGGGGGGGGGGGGCGGTGTGGGGTTGGGGGTGTGGGGGGGGGGGTGGGGGGGGGGGGGGGGGGGGGGGGGGGGGGGGGGGGGTGGGGGGGGGGGGGGGTGGGGGGCTGGGGGGGGGGGGGGGGGGGGGGGGGGGGTGGGGGGTGGGGGGGGGGGGGGGGGGGGGGGGGGGGGGGGGTTGGGGGAGGGGGGGGTGGGGGGGGGGGGGGGGCGGGGTGGTGCGGGGGGGGGGGGGTGGGGGGGGGGGTGTGGGGGGCGGTGGGGGAGGGGGAGTGGGGAGGGGACCTGGGGGGTCGGGGGGATGGGGGGGCGGGGGGTGGTGGCAGGGGTTGTTTTTTTGTTTTTTTTGTTTGTTGTTGGTGGTGGGTGGTCGGGTGGTGGGGGGGTGGGTTCCTTGGGGGGGGGGGGTGGGCGGGGGGCGGGGGGGGGGGGGGGGGGGGGGGGGGGGGGGGGGGGGCTGGGGGGGGGGGTGGCGGGGGAGGGAAAGGGGGGGGGGGTGGGGGAGGGGAGGGAACGAAGGAGGGGGGGGGGGGGGGTGGGGGAACGGGTGGGGGGGTGGGGGGGGGGGGGAAGGGGGGGTGGGGGGGGAAAGGGGAGGGAAGGGGGGGGGGAAAAGGGGGGGGGGGGGGTAAGGAAAAAGTGGGGAGGTGGGGGGGGTGGGAAAAGGGGGGTGGGGAGGGGTGGGGGGGTGGGTGGGGGGGGGGAGGGGGTGGGGGGTGGTGGGGAGTGGGGGGGAGGGGGGGGGGGAGAGGTTGTAAGGGGTGAGGGGGGGGAGAAAGTGGGGGGGTGGGGGGGTGGGGGGAGAAAGAGATGGGGGGGGGGGGGGAGGGCGAGAGGTGGGGGGGGGGGGGAAGGGAATTCTGGGAGGGGTAGTGGGGGGGGGTTGGGGGGGGGGGGGGGCAAAAGAAAGGTGTGGGTGGCGTGAAGGTAAAACAAGGGGAGGGGGGGTGGAAGGGTGGAGGGTGGAGTGGTGGGGGGGGGGGGAAGTAGGGGGGGATTGGGTGGAGGGGATAAAAGAATAGGGGGAAAAAGAGGGGGGGGGGGGTGGGGGGAGGGGGAAGGTGGCGGGTTGTGGGGTGGGGGGGGAAAGGGGAAGCTGGGGGGGGGGGGGGGGGGGTGGAAGGGTGTGATGATGGTGTAAAGGGGGTGGGGGGAGGGGGGGGGTGAATGGTGGGAGGGGGGGAATGAGGGGAACAGGGGGTGGGGGGAATGGGGTGAAAGGGGGGCAATGTGGGGGGGGGTGGGGTGGGGAGGGGGAAGGGAGATGTGGGAAGGGGTTAGAGCAGCCCAACAATGGGGGTGTGGGGGAGTGGTGGGGTTTTTGGTAGGGAAAAAGGGGGGCGGGGGGGGTTGGGGGGGGGGGGGGGGGGGTGGTGCGGTGGGGGGGTGTGGCTGGGTGTGGGGGGTGGGGGGGGGGGGGGGGTGGGTGCGGGGGGGGGGGGGGGGGGGGCGGGGGGGGGGGGGGGGGTGGGGGGGTGGGGTGGGGGGGGGGGGTCGGTGGGAGGAGGGCGGGGTGTGGGCGGGGGGCGTGGGGGGAAGGGGGGGGGTGGGGGGGGGGGGTGGTGGGGGGGGGGGGGGGGGGGTGGGGGGGGTGGGCGTGGGGGGGGGGGGGGTGGGGGGGGGGGGTGTGGGGGGGGGGGGTGGTGGTGGGGTGTGTCGGGGTTGGGCGGGTGGGGGGGGGGGGGTGGGGGGGGGGGGGGGGGGGGGGCTGGGGGGGGGGTGGGTTGGGGGGGGGGGCGGGGGGTGCTTGGGGTGGTGGCGGGGGGGGGGGGGGGGGGTGGGTAGGGTGGGGGGTGTGTGGGGGGGGGTGGGGGGGGGGGGGGGGTGGGGCGGGGGGGGGGGAAAAGGGGGATAAGGGTGGTGGGAATGGGGCGGAAAAGTGGAGGGGGGGGGGAAGGTGAAGGGTGGGGGGAGAAAAGGGGGGGGGGCGGGGGGGAGTCGGGGGGAGGGGGGGGGTGGGGGGGGGTGTAAGGAGGGGGAATGAATGGGGGTGGTTGGAAAGGGGATGGGGGGGGGGGGGGTGGGCGTGGGGGCGGGGGGGGGGGTTGGGGTGGGGGGGCGCCGGGGGGGGGGGGAGTGGGGGGGGCGGGTGGTGTGGGCAGGGGTGGGGTGTGGGGTAGGTGTGGGGGTTGTGGGGAGGGGTGGGGTGGGGGGCGATTGGGTGGCGGGGGGGGGGGGGGGGGGGGTGGCTTGGGGGCGGGTTAGGGGAGGTGGGGGGGTGGGGGGGGGTGGGGGAATGGGGTGAGGGGGGGAGGGGCGAAAGGAACGGGTTAGGGGGGGGGAAGGGGAGGATGTTGTGGGGGAGGGGGGGGGGGGTGGGGGGTGTGGGGGGGGTGGGGGGTTGGGGTGGGGGTGGTGCGGGGGGGGGGGGTCGGTTGGGGCGGGGTGGGTGTTGGTGGGGTGCTTTGGGGGGGGGGTTTTTGTTTGTGGGGGTTGCTGTGTGGTTGGTGTTGGGGTGGGGTTGGTTGGGTGGCTGGGGTGGTGGGGGCGGGGGGGGGGGGGGGGGGGGGGGTGGGGGGGGGGGGGGGGCGGTGTGGCGGGGGGGGGGGGGGGGGTGGGTGGGGGGGGGGGGGGGGGGTGGGGTGGGCGGGGGGGGGGGGGGGGGGGGGGGGGGGGCGGGGGGGGGGGGGGTGGGGGAGGGGTGGGAGGTGGAGGGGAAAAAGAGAAAAGGGGGGGGGGGGAAGTGGGGGGGGAAGGTGGGGGGGGGGGGGGGGGGGGCTGGGGGGGGGGGGGGTGGGGGGGAAAATGAGGGGGGAAAGGGGGGCGGGGGGGTGGTGAAGTGGAAAAGGGGGCGAAAGGGGGGGGTGGAAGAAAAGGGTGGGGTGGGGGGGGGGAAAAGGGTCAGGAACGGAGGAGGGGGGGGGATGGTAAGGGGTAGTGATGAGAAAAGGGGGGAGGGTGGGGAAAGGGAGGGGGGGTGGGGGTTGATAGGGGGGGGGGGGCGTTGGGGGGGGATGGGGTGAGGGACGTGAACGGGGGGTTGAAGGAAGGGGTGGGGAGGGGGGGGCGGGGGGGGGGGTGGGTGGGGACGGGGGGGGGGCGGGGGGGGGGGGGGGGGGTGGTGGGGGGGGGCGATGGAATGGGGAAGTGGGTGTGGGGGGGGGAAGGGGCGGGTGGGGCGGGGGGCGGGGGGGGCGTAGGAGGGGAGGGGGGTGGGGGTGGCGGGGCGGGGGGGGGGCGTGGGGGGGGGGGGGGGGGGGGGGGGGGGGGGGGGGGTGGGGTGGGGGGGGGGGGCGGAGGTGCGCGGGGCGGGGGGGGGTGGGGGGGAGGTGTGGGGGAGGGGGGGGGTGGACGGGGGGGGGGGGGGAGGGGGGGGTGGGTGCGGGCAGGGTGGGGCGTGGGGGGGCTGGCGTGGTTGGGGGGGGTGGAAACGGGAAGGTGGGAAAAAGGGTGGGGGTTGGTGGGGAAGGGTAAGAGGTGCGAGCGCCTGTGGCCGGTGTGAAAAGGCGGGGGGCTGTGGTGGTGGGGTTTTGTTGGGGTGTGGGTTGTGGTGCGGTGTTGGGGTGGGGGGGGGTGGGTGGGTGGGGTGGTGTGGGGGGGGGGGGGGGTGCGGGGGGTGGGGTGGGGGGATGTCTGGGGGTTGTGGGGGGGGGAGTGGGGGTTGAGTGGGGGGGGGGGAGTGGGGCGTTGTGGGGTGGCGGGGGGGGGGGGGGTGGTGAGGGGGTGGGGGGGGGTCGCCAAGTGTCTTGGTGGGGCGTCGGGTTGTTGGGCGGGGTTATTGGTGGCGGGTGGGGGGGTGGGGGTGGGGGGGGTTGCGCTGGGGCGGGGGGGCGGGGCGGGGGGGGTGGGGGGTGGGTGGGGGTGTGGGGGGGGGGGTGTGGGGGTGGGCGGGGGCTGGGTGGCGGGGGGGGGGGGGGGGGCGGGGGGGTTGGGGGTAGGCGGGG